AAGGTTGGAGACGGAACCCCTGACATGGGCCTTTGATGTTTCTTCCGGAGTCACTTGCACCAAAAAACTGCATAAGCAAGACGAAATCCCTCCCCGCCAACAAAATTCCCCAAACCTATATAATTTCAAGATATATTATATCCGCCTGGACAGAGCTGTAACCGGGTCACACCTCAGCTCTGAGCTGCATTTAGCAAGCCAGGTTGAGCAGAAGTGGTCAATCAATGAACCTAGCATAAAAAGAAAACATAGGGAGAAAAAAGAGCGTGGGGGTATCAACGGCTTTCAGCCTTTCAGCGAGACCAGAATCATATCACAGGCATCACGTTGCAAAGGAACAATTTCGATACTTCTGCCGGAGCTCTGCAATATCGGAAAATCTCCCCTTCAGTGATTCTCGCCTTGGTCGAAACGTCTGTGGGTCTATAACAGACATGCAGACGGGTCAGGTTTCAGCCGATCGAAGATACATACGCATTCAAAAGGCTAGGGCCGGTGTCCACAACAGATAGTTTGGTTATGAGGATCCGTAATGCGGATAGTCTGAGTGACGCCACTCAATATATCCTTATAACTCCCCTTTCAAATTTACCCTTCGGGGTAGATTGCACTACCTTCGGTCATGCTCAGTGTCCTGGAAGAAACAAATGGTGAAACAAACATCAACTACTAGTACTTCTTACCCTTCGTGTATGCCGTATCAAGAGTCGCGAGATCGATTTCGCGAGATGCCTTAAACTAGTCCATCTGCTCATATGATCTCTAAAATCGATCGATCTCACATCTGTTCGTTTGTAATACAAGGCGTTTTCCGTCCACAATAGCAGCAGGCTATCTATTGACCAGCTGTGCGTGCCTCTCGGACGGGCTGACCGGAACACTTCTGGGATTCTGAAGCACGATATATTAAAGGAACACGCAGTACTAATCGGGATGAAGCATCAGATGACCACAAGTCGATATATTTAGTGGGCAGACGTTAGAACAAACATTCGAGTGGACCAGACATGCGGCTCGGCTCGACAAAGACAACGTCACCCGTCTTCACCTGATTTCGATATTAAAAAAACAGCCCTCAACATTATCAGCCGCGTTTTCCGTTGTAACAGGATTATCGATGTCGCCAGAGACTCTCACCAAACCCATTTTCTTCGAGGTCGTTCAATCGCCAAGGAGCTGCTATCTTTCGGGTTTGAAGAATCTATGTATCATCAAATTGCTCTTTTTGATCCACAGTGATCCTTGTATCTAATGTTCCTCGATCCTGGTGTCCAACATATTAATTGTCCCCAAACCTAGCAACATTTGTTGTCCCACGTGGTAAACAGCTCCTTTGGAAGCTGGCTCTTTTTCGAAAGTCGCCCCCACAATTGAGCATATTTTCCTAGAATTTTTGATTTTGCTCATTTCCTGTTTGGCACGATATTGAAGTATTTATCCTCGGCTAAAGTCTTTCCCTATCTAGGGGAAATCGTGGGCAAGCTTGTAGTGTCGTCTTTTTTGCTTTCGGTCTTTTGCGGTCCACTGTGGCTCAAATTCGTCTCGCTCCCCTCAATGAGAAAATCTAGCGAAACTTGCATTCGGTATCACAAGAATCCCGGAAACTCAGAAATCCTAGCGTTGGCTGCATGATCTTTTTGTGAAGCAGGGTGCTGTTACAGATGCTCTTTGGATAGCGGGGAAATATACTTAGCTGCATTGTTTTCTCAACAAAATGTTCAACTGATGATGCACCGCCTTCGTCAGGTCACATGCTTTGTGTAATGTATGCATTTCGACGGAACGGGTCTACGAACTCAAGGCCAGCCGCTTGTTACCCAAAATTCGGCAAGTGATTGCCTTGTTGCGTATATTCCCTTGATATGATTGTCATCAGGGGAAAGATATACGAGGTGGCTGGGATATATCTCCTCTTCTATTCCTGTATGTAGTCTAGACGCCTTGTGTCTAGACGTCTACGCATCCTCGTACGATATAAATTCCCGTGGTGCGATCTGGAAAAATCCTGGTGGGTCATAGTCACTCTTTGAACTTGGGCGTTTCAATTATATTGCAATGCAACCCTCGCTTTGCCGGCAAAAGAATCGTTTCGTCCCACCAGCTGCGCAAGCGAAAGGACCTTTTGCGCTGGAGGGCAGTGGGGAGTAATGATAATAGGACCTTGCCCTAATGATTGGAGTTTGTATCCTAGGCCTGACCCATGCAGCCTTCTGCAAGGTGGCCGTCTGAATTGATTTCCAGGCAATTGTCACGAATTGCAGATTTCCGCAGCCGCAGGAATTCGTGCATACCGATCGCAGGCGATTGGAAATCTGACCTGACTTCATTATCAAATATTCCTATCATGTTCTGCAAGGGTATTACCGGCAAAAGGGCCTGCAGTGTTTCTGGAGGCGAGACTGCCAGTTACCTCATGACGACAAGACCCGAAGAAACTCTCACCCGCGGCCGCGACGTAGTCGTCATTTCTCCCCGAGAAAATACCCCTCCAGCGGAAAAATTGCTTCACGAGACACTTCCACAGTTTCCATATCCCCAAAACATCTGATTTCGTTTTCGGTTTGTCGATACATATTGGGTTGCCCAAACCTGCAGCATCGCACATAGCGAACTAGGATCAACCTTCAACTTCTGCACGAAAATCATATTACGCTTACAAATCTTAATGGTTCTATACATAGGTGTTGGCTTTGCTGTAAAAATCTGACAGAGAACTAGCTAGAGAGTTATCGTACGTAACACCTCAACAACTTTTACATGATAATGCGCTGACTTGTGGGAGTCACGAGATTAGGAGCTTTGACACATATGCCGTTGAACCATTGGGAGGGGCGCGGTTTTGACTTTCTGAAGGATTGCTTGCGAAAACGGGTTCGAGGACTCATTATTTCATCGGTAACCCCGGTAGACATCGATAGCCATATTAAGCTCTCAACCAATCGTCGGCCACTACCGTTGGAGTAAGACCAGAAACTCAATGCAATGGCGGCATATACATTCGTATGTGCGCAGAAGCTTGCCTTCGCTGACATATTTGCCTCAGCTGGGTTTTTGTTGACGTCGGAAAAGATTGCATTTACAAGATGTTAATTTATATCAAGTTTGGACTGGCGAGCTCTCATCGGCTAGTTGCGATATATAATTGCTAGGTCAGCACCATGATGACCGCAGGACGTTTGCGGCTTATGAAGCCGGACGGTGCCGAGTCAGCTGCATTCAAGGGCACCTTTACCGAAAAGCAAGAGTTCCCAAATCATGCAGACATGGCCCTGATGCACCGACGGTGTGGTTATGCTAAGCCCAGCCTGTGGTCTTTTTTTGGCCGACCCCGAAGCCTGGTGGACAAGAGTTTGGAGTCACCATTGAATGACAAGGAAATTTTGGCGGATCATACACACGTGGCTAGCTGTTTCCCCGCTTTTTGATTCGATTTGTTTCTTGGGGTTAGAAAGTTTTGGAAGGAGGGGCCAGGGCTTTGGTATACATCATGAACATGTACCGGTACCTCAACCTACTTCGGCTGCTCGACTTTGTGTTTTCCTGGGCATCCACCTAGATATCAAGGATATCCGCGGCACGTCGTGATATTGCGATATTATGGTTGTCGCTCTTGCTTCAACTGTGATACCTTCGAAAAAAAAACTTAACTCTGGGCTAGAAGCCCTGATATAGTTACATGCACGCGCTCGGATCTTTTATTAGGACTTTGAGGATCTCTCAATAAGCCTTTAACTTCTAGGCAGTCATCTTTCCAAAGCCTGGAGTTGAACCCAAAATTGCATGTTATGGCCGGGTGCACCGTAGGAGTCGACGTTGTACTTTGGGGCCTTTTGGGGCCTTTTGATCCTCACCATCACGGACCACCAAGGCTGGCGTAAGAGCCCCATCGACGGATCTCGTAAAGTGGCGTTACCAGTTCTACCTGGAGACCCTGATATGTGCACCACCTATAGAAGCGTGAAATATAGGTGGATACTATCCCTCATACCATGTATGCAGATACATGTGGCAGTTGGCATGTAGCGCATGTACCACAAACCGGATCTGCCTTAACGTTACCACTTGTTGCACAATGTGTGTTGACCAACCAGCCCGTTATGGTGTCTAGATTTCGTGAAAGCCCCTTCTGGGGCCGGGGATTTCTTCGGCTCATTTACGGGGTCAGAATAATATGTTTATCTTTGATTAGCACAATATTAGTCAGGAAAAAGGGCTGTATTCATATCGGTTCTGTATTATCAAACATAAGCTGTATTAATATGTATTATGATTACGAAATGCTTCGTGAACCGTCAGCCCCTGGTCAATTAAAGAATTTGTGATCTCGGATTTTTCTTCATGCTATTCCTGAGCTTTGACCTTGCATGGAAGCGCCAGCGAAGATCTTACGATATCTGATCCCTTTTCTGGAGGTTAAGGAATGGTCTGTGCGGAGCCTTCTCCACAAGCCTCAATGCCGCGCCCATGGTTCAATAACCCCACAAACGGATCGACGCTTCCCCGCACAGGTAGGATTGGTACTTACTGTTTCCAAAATTTTCTGCCTAATATATCTAGAATTAGCTATACGAGCTAACTATTACCACTAATGTTTGTGGCTTTTATCGATCCGGCATCCGTGGTTTCGGCCGTCACAAACTAGTGCTGATGTATAAGTTTAGAAGGAGCTCAGATAGTTGTGAATTAAAGGAATGAGGCCCATCCGAGAAACTATTACAAAATATCTAACATACAATAATCTCTGTCGGCAAATTGTGATTATGCAGACACCAACGGACGCGCGCACGACTTATTCGACGCTCGGATATCAATGCTTTGACGGGATGGGGAAAAACTTTTCAATTCCGCGGAACGGTACAACCGCTTTTCAAAACAACCAGAAGAAAATTTTTTTTAACCTTGACCTGATATCCTTGCCAGCGTGGAGAAGTTGAAAAAAAAAGAGACAATTACGAAGGTCATTAGGTTTGCAACGTTTGAATTGTCATGTTCCCTCAGAGTTAAACTCGGTCGTCAACACTAGCACTAGTGCCAGCCTTTCGCGACCGACTCTCAGAACCCGAGACAATAAACTGACTCAAGTCACCCACGGGCAGCTGGATAAAGTTAAACAAGGTTAGTAAGACATGCATGTGTTCGGATCCGGGGTGGCGGTCTTACTTGAAACGGGAAATCGACGGACTCAAGCATCTGGGCAAGTAGAATATACCAACCTGGGACGCAGGTCAACAGAGCACATGCGCCAGCGGCCTAGGTATCATGCATCAAGAGGTTAGCGTTGAATTTAAAAAATTAACCAGCCACGTAGTGAGGCTCGGTCATAAACCCGAGATAGAAGCCTCAGTAGCCACGCGACATATAATAGTATGCGGTCCATGGGATCAAATGGCGATAGAGAGGTAACGTATCGTATTAGTGTGGAGAAGAGTAACTTACAATCTGTAAATCACCGGCTAGTTTAGCATTTCCATTTGCAACGTTAAAGTATACTGCGACAAGAAGGCCAAATGTCGCATCCAAAAACGTAAATAGCGTTACGAAGACCACGTTGGTTCGGAGCGAACAGATAAGATAGATGGATGTGATGAAGCCCCATGCAAGGAGATAGAAACCTTAATGGATGCCACACGGCGGGTTTCGTTAGTTCAAATTCATTCAATTTGTTAAGAGTATCCTCCTATTTCCGAACCAAACTCCGGAGCGAGGGACTATTCAAGGTCTGGTAGGGAATGATCTTACCGAAGCTAGCATTGAACCCCATAGTCGTGCCGCCTTCGACGGCACTGGTGCCGGATGAGGAATACGCTCCCATAGCGTTGAAGGATGGCGTAAGTGTTCCTCCCAGACTAAACCAGAATCCACCTAAATTGAAGAATAAAATATTAGCCCTACAATCCAGCTCCCAATGCCTCGTACGAGGTACCGAGAAATCTCCAACATCGAGGTCCGGTCCGGTCCCAATTCGGTCTTCAAGGACTTATTTGGTCAACATACTGAAAGATGTAAATACCACAAACGGAAATGTGTTGCCCAAAAAGAACTCGAGGATGCCGCCGACAAGTGAAAGCATGCCTCCTAGGAAGTAGTAGCTGGCCCTATTGGCTCGCAATGATACAGCTGCGTTAGTGCCATTTTTTAAAACTCTTCGTTATGGTTGTCGATTCGGAATATAAGTTCGGCATGTGTCACTTACACTTGAGCGGCACCGACACCACCAGCACCTCGCCATCCCATTAGATCCATGCTCAATGGGGTTAAGCATACCAGGAAGCCGCTGTATAACGTCTATTAGTACTACACTGGGATTATCTTCAGATTTTTCTCGAAACCTACAGAACCGCACTATACGTTTTGTTCATTAGTCTCGCGATCCCGGAAACACTTCGGATTCATTATTTCATACAGCCCACTTACATCGGGGTTGGGTTGCCAAAAGTTTTACGCAAATCTCCATGAACTTTGTTCTGAGGAGAGAGATAGAGCTTCTCGAACAGCTCTGGGGAAATCTGCATAGTTGCTGTTGTGCGGACGCGGTCTAGTTGATCCTTGCCGGAATCGTTATGTTGAGAGGATGGTGGACTACTGTAGCCCTGATTCCGGGTCTGTGGCATGATTTGAGACTCTGTCGAGTAAGTTGGGTCTAGATTTGCCTTCTCCATTGTGAGAGTATTTGATGAATTGAAGGAGGATTTCGTGATTAGGTGATAATAGTGATGTCCGTTTACCGGAAATTTTCCTTAGTACTATAGTGATAGTAAGGTATTCGATCCCACGAAGGTGTATACGGGTTTCTTTGTTAAACTATAGCTATTCCGTATGTATGGTATAAGGGGTCTTGCAAACCAGCCTCCCTTTTACGCGAGATTAAGTGGAATATATATCCCCACAGGTACCAAGAAATGACAATATGGGACAGAGTGGGTATCGTGAAAGAGCGTGTCGAAACCGATTGGATAAAGGCGAAGGCCACCTTGGGGGATATATATATCTTGATAAGATCATGTACCCCAAAGGCCATAAGCTTTTGAAACAGTCTCTTCTACAAAATCTTCTCCACATATCGATAACTACTTAGTCTGTACATGCAAACATACATGCATATTGCTGCAAAGGGGCCGAAATACATTGGCCAAACCCCGTGATATCGGCGCATAACCCCGTCATAAAGGAGATTCCGATTCCCCACAAAATACCTTTCTTGTATTCTCCACAATCCACACGCCCAAAAAAAACTTTAACGAAAACACAAGAATGCGGGGGGGAGAATACTTTGTTCAAGGTTGACGAGCACTAAGCTTTTTAGTTTGAATCATTTACATGTAAAAGTCACGAAAATAACACAATTTACCCCAGCCTTTCTAAGTGCGGGTGCTGTTTCCCCAACGCTATGATGTTGGAATCCTCTTGGGATATGCAGCTGAAGGGCGAATTGGATTCGTCTCGACCATGAATCCGTAGTAACATGCAGAAAGAAGCGAGCAAAGTGGATTATAGTACCTCCGCTCATGCGGCACTAGTACTAAACTGCCTTTTTGATTCCGGTCCACCGAGCCGTGGTAGCGCTTAGGGAAGAACACGCGTTCCCAACGCAACTATTTCGACACAATGCAAACGATCGTACGAAGAACATTCGAAAATTATATTGCTATTGCATGCCAGGTTGCATTTGCATTTCAATTCCTGCATCCGACGGCGGAACTACGAGCAGAGTATACGCCGATGCTGTTCAAGCCTTTTCAGCTGCAAGATCGATCACCGTCTGGTACTTACATCTCACGAGGAGGATTGTAAAAAGACGTTAACGTTAATTCCTAACAGCAGCCGGTACCAGATGCGGAATTTGAGTACGGCAAGTGTCCACGAGGTATTTGGAACTGGTGGGCAGATTGCGACCGTTTTTTTTTTAATCCAAAAGCTTGAAACAGTCGATCCAATGGAGGTTTTGTGTGATACGACTTGGGAGCCGGCCTGGATGCCCTGACCTGCAGCGGTAACGGAGAGACAACAAAGCGAGGGGCCGAAATCTCGATAAGAAAGGCTTTTTCGGCAAGTCAAGGTTTTGGATTTTTGATTGGGGGGAAGGTTTATGGGATCGAGGGTGGCCATGTCTTGCCTGCAGGGCTTGCATGTTCGCATATATCTTGGGCTGCAAACCTGGATGACGGACAGTAATTTCGCCCGAATCGAACAAGACATTGCCATGACAAAAGTTAGCGAGTGGCAATGGTGTCTTCTTGTGCGAATTGTAACTTCCGTCTGAACTTAGGCTATCTTCTGGAAAGCTAGCTGTGGTGACAACATGATGCAATCGTATATGGCATGTCGCAGGGCACAGATTTTGAGTTCTTGTGTGATATCGATTTGCGGTTCTATTTGAGATATCATTTGAGGTGATGTTGAAGCCTAGGGATTGGCTGTTGACTTCAATGCTTTATATCATGATCATACCTCTGCTCTTAGTCGTGCTCGAAGCGTTTCTTCTTACAACCCAATTTGTCATTGATATTAACGCCAGTAAAATTAAAGTCTTTAATATATTAATACGGCGAGATTTCTTTTTCTTTTCTGAATTTACAATCATTTTGTCCTCCGTGATACAGGCTTGCGAGCGGGCGTTCGATGAAGTGCAGCATTTGCATTGCTGAGTAGCATCCCTGCACTGCAGGCCTGGTTGATTGAGACAGACTAAGGGCAGGAATCTCTGTTGTGTAACTCCTATAGACCGTGTGACCTCTAGTATGTGGCTACAAGACGCCTGCTAGTGCCCGCTACGTATCACCAATTTCGCAGGCAGCTTAAGAGAGATATGCGAGCAATCGGGGCTCTTGAGGAACAGAAGTAATGGAGACGAGCATCGAATGGTGCAAGCTTCCGCTTGACCGGGATCGTCAATGGAGCCTAGTACTACTTATCGTAGGAATATTAGTCTCAGTAGTAGTGTTTCATCATTTGTACAATTGTCTAAACCCAAATTTACAAATGGTTGGAGAAAGGCCCTTAGTCACTTGGAGTGTCAACGGTGTTAACGCGATTCGAGATAGACCGTTGGGAAATCGATCATTGTTTCCTACACAGCACATCTCTTGTACAATTGTGGGTGATCAATCGAGCTATTTCCGATCTAGGGTTTCGCTCCTTCGGAAGCCATTGGCGTACGATACATAGAGCCTAGGACTAGTTAAGAATTTTTACTGATCGCTGGGGCTCGGGATTCCAAAGGGGTGGAGCTAGGTATTTGATTTTGAAGTACTTCGGAGGACGGCCTCGAGGCTCTCGGATCTGCGAAATTCCAGTTTCCGCAATAAGTTTCGATCTTTGTCGGGATTGATTTGTGCATGTGGGACTAGTTTGGATATCTCTGGTTTTGTCATTGTCTTTGTTACCACCTGAGCCCGAATTTGGAAGATAAGTTAGTACGCAATAGGCACATGGTAACATCAACCATATACGGGTGTTCTGTGGTAACTTTTGGGCCGAGAACGAATTACTTTGGTCCGTTGAGGGATGAACTTCTTGAGGAAAGCGGCCATGACAATTGTGACCAATTTCTAGGGTCACGTCCTTCGCAACCATGGTCAGTGTCCTTGAGGCCATAGGCTTTTCAATCCTATTGCATTCCCGCTAGACATGGCGAGAGGCTACAAAATTCAACTCGGCACTTTAACATTTTGAGAAAACTTATATGTTCCTAATTGAATATTTTTTCGTACTACTCATGTCCCAAACCCGGGTGCCACCAAAACCTTGTGGCTCATGACCTCGTCTTCCAGAACCCCCTTTCAGAAAGGGGGAATTACATGACGGTGTTAAGGGCGGACAAGAATTTTCACATGTTCACGAGACTTCAGCAACGCTTCGAAACCATTAGTGACTGCGTCGTCGAGGGCTACCTTCGCCGTTATCAATTTCTCCGGATTCCTTATCTTGCCTAAATTTTCGTAGACGGTTACCCGCAGGTTCTCAGAAAAAGGTATATACTTGATTTTGAGGTACTAGGGATCACTGATACTGCAGGCAACCTTGATAGGTAACCTGCAGGCAGGGGTGTGGATCAAACGTGCACAGCTTCACATACCTGTAGATATTGCTTCGATCACTTCCTGGAAATCACCTTCATCATAGAGAGCTACGCCAATGAGCTTCTTTTCGCCGAAAACCAAAGCGTTCATGTCGATACTAGGGGGCTTTTCCCAAACGGCGACGTTACAAACTATAGGACCATGAGCTCGTGGACATTCGGTAGGTAAAACTGGTGTTGGCAGCTTCACCTATTTAGGTATTGGGGAGTACTGTAAAGTCTTACCTACGCCTCCTTTTCTAACAGCCCCAATAGCTGCGTCGATAGATTTCTGGACGCCGGCACAGTCGTAGACGACATTTGGGCCCTGATTACCCTGAGAACAGAGTTCCTTTGCTCTCACAACAACATCTTCTTTCGTAGGATCGAGCACTCTGATATCTACTTCTGGGTGAGAACTGGCAATCTCGAGAGCATGTTTGATACGTTGGGGAGAGACTTCAGATATCAAGATCTGGCGGCAACCCCTAGCAAGCAAGCAGAACAAGACAGCAAGCCCAATAGGACCAGCTCCAACAATTAAAGCTGATCGATCTGGTGTGTGACCGGCTGCTTTGAGGGCGTGCCATGCCACAGCAAGTGGTTCGACAAGAGCTGTTTTTCAAACGTTCAGTGTCTCTCCTAAATAAAATAGAAAGCAGTAAAATGGCTGCATGTGATAAACCGACCTCCAATGTCGGTGGGGACGTTATCTGGTAGCGGATGAACGAGCTTTTCCTGCAAACAAGCGTACTCCGAGAATCCACCTCCCCAACCTATATACGTTACAGTGTATATTAGCAATGTTAGACCGTGTGCAAGTGACACCTTAGGACAAACAATAAGAGTGAACTTAAGAGTTGGTGATTGAACTTAAGCTATTATACTACCTGAAAGCCCAAAAAAGCCTCCCCTATCACAGCAGTTACGGCGTCTGTCAAGGCACGGGGGACAAGTGTCGTCGAAGAGAGCAGGCTCAATGCAAACCTTCATCCCGACCTTGAGCCTTCCCGGTTCAACGCCTGGCCCGAGTTCAACAATTTCTCCGGCGAACTCATGACCCATAATCAATGGTACAGTACAGCCGGTCAGCCTATGAGGCTTGCCGACAGCAGGTGTAAGAATTGGACCAGTAATATATTCATGCAAGTCGGTTCCTGTGAATATCAATGCAATATATACGTGAGCCTCGATCTAAATTTAAACCAATCTACCTAATACCCCGAGTTGTGTTGTGTGGTCTACTTACCACAGATACCGCACCATTCAGGCTTAACTTTGACCTGGCCAGGTAGGAGTTCTGGGATTGGGACAGACTCGACGCGGAGGTCTTTCGCGCCGTGATATCGTAGGGCCTTCATCGAATCGGCCATTTTGCGCAATTGGTAGGGATTGAATTCAATATATTAATTAGTTGTCGTTCTCGGAACTGGAAGTGTCGATGTCTACGGATAGTCCTTAAGTCTTATATACCCAGCTTCGATTCGTTCGTTTCACGGCCGATCCAATTCAATTGATGGGTTCATAATTAGGCGGCCGTTTAGCGAAGCTAGCGAGTCCAATGAGTCCAATCCCTTCCCCGCCATATGTCTGGAACCTTGGATTCCAGGGTGTACTTAAGTACATACATACGTCATGCACCCGATCATGACACTTTCTACCTTTCCCCCGGAGCTAGTCGACGCTGGCCTACGTATAATAAATGTGCATATGTGCTGTGCATATGTGCTGGCCTGAAATGATTGCACGACACCATATACCATCGAGAGCGATGCCCGCTATCGGCCACAATCCCATCCTTGTATCTTGACCCATTAATTAATTTGCATTTGAAGTTGATATCACAATTTATAGCCTGGCCTGAATCATGAACGCCATAAAAACTACTGAACTAGACCCAACCGTTCGAGGCTGCGAAAGGGCCATGATGCAACCTGCACCCGACCATCGATTGGGCAGGTTTGGCAGCAGATCACTCTGGGAATATGCGCCGTGAACTGCTAATTCAGTTCTCGGGCCGGTTGTTACATAGGTACTTACATAGTCCTATTATTAATGTATTACTGACGAGTCTGACCGCCGTGGAAGTCATGCCGGAAATGTTCTCCTTGTTGGACTAGATCTCTAAAACACCTTGCCTTTCATTCTTTTGATTACACGACAGCTCAGCTGAAGCGTCCGGTCCCAGATCTAGGTCCAGATCTTAAGCGGAAGCCGTCCACTACCCGGCTGCCTTACCCGTGCCCTCATTCGCTCGTTTCAGAAATTACGGACGGGAATAAGGAGGGGAAAGCTTGTTTCCCCTCGATTCCTGCGGCCCAATCACCAATTCGCGAATCTGTCGGTAGAAAACTAGGCTGAGCAAGTTTTAAAACCTTCTTTGCAGTCGGACTTTGTGAACGTTGTTCAAGACAATAGACTTCGGCTCGTCTCGAGTGTGACAAGCGAGGGACGGTAGCGTTCAACGGCAATACATCAATATCCTGTCCTTAACTTCAAGTTCGACAAACGTCCTAGCTCGGCAGCCCGATATTAGAAGACTCTCTAGCTTACCCTCATCCCGAATACTGGTCCGTCCAGATAAGCTGATATATCAGTTTGTGTTGGTGCAAGAGTGACCATGCCGTTGCGCTTGAGGTTTCCGACGGTTCGTGACATATGCATATGGTGCATATGCATCCCTAGTTAATCAAAGACACTAGCTACTAGTTTAACCGATTCGTCGGAACGTCGAGTAACGTACTAATATTTAATACTCTCCATAGAAAGATAAGAAGGGCCACCAGCCGTCTGTCTCGGAATCTACTCGCCGAACATCTAGCGAGGAGGATCGCGCCCGATATCAAATAAGATGTCCGCAATGCTCGCATGCCTGGATGGGACGCTCTCGATCCGATGACCAAGGCCGTGAATTTGACCCGGTCCTGTCTTCCTTAGGCTTCGACTTTTCTCCGGTTCCAATTCTTGTCATTGCGCCTAATTCGACAATCGGAAATGCCAATAAGATTGCGGTAACATTATTTTCGCACTTGGTAAAAGTGTATGGGAGCCTAAATGGGATTCATATTGGGGAGCTTGGTGTAGAATTCCAGGAGCAAAGATGGGTAACTCTAGGAATGGTCATTGAGAAGCGAAGAGCCCTATTCCTTGAATCTTCTGGCACCAAAATCAGTTCTCCAATAGACCCTCCATCCAAAAGGCTAGAATCTGGAGAAGGTTCGAGTAATGCGAGTGTCCCAAGCCCGAAATCAAAGTTCTCACATAGTTCGGATCTAAATCTAGGTGGCTTGGGTCGGAGAGCAGCAGATGCTCTCAAAGGCAAGGCCAAATCTTCCAAGGATGTCGAATCCGATGGGAATACCGAGTCGTTCGAAGTTATGATTCGGTTTCCAAATGGCCAGACACCGCTGTATCAAGCGAACAACCGGAGGGAAAGCTTCGGGAAGACTGCCAATCGGCGGCAGGAGGAGCCTGATAAACAGAATACAACACTTGTTCCCGCGACTTTGTTCCTATCATTTACAGATAGTGGTAAGGAAGTGTATACCGTAATGTCTATCCTGACCCACGATAGCATCAGTGTGGCTGGGTATGTTATCCCCTACTTTCAAGTCTTCCTCTATATAATCGCAATCTACTTATCCAATATAGGAACGCCGCGGCGAATCAAAAGCGGGAAAAGACTAGAGAGATGATAGTTCCGGGCAATATAAGCATGGCCACGGAGTTTGCATCTCAGGCCGAAAGGGTTCGCGATTCTGCTCTCGAACACCTAGATTCTCACTTCATTGCTATGAACACTCGAGGTGATATTACCATAACAAATTCGTCGACGAGAAAATTCTTTGGTCTGGAGAGTTCAATGCCTGATATTGGGTAATAATTTCCCCACTGTTTGTTACAAATATAAGATGATAATCTGATAGAGCCTCGTAGTATCGGTCGGACGACAAGCGATTGGGTGTCTCGATTGAATGTCTACGACACCAAGTTCAGCACCAGCTCGCCATTTACTGAATACTTTCACCATAACCTCCGACGAAAAACAATTGCCACTAAGGATAGCTTCGGAGTTTATGTGAAAGATATTCCTAAACTTATGGAGGTTTCTGGCCTACCATTGTATGCGGTTAATACCCCATGGGTGAAGGACCTAGACCGTGAACTCGTTGGTTATCTGACTATGTTCCGGGATATAACAAAACAACGGGAAATCGATGCTGCACAGCAACAAGACGAAAGACTAAGAGGCATTTTCACAAGCGGAGTCGTCTCAGAGCTGAGAACGTAAGATATCAACATCTCTAGTTTTGTTAGGAAACTCAGCGCTGACACAGGAACTAGGCCGATTGCAGGTATTGTTGGTTTACTCCAACTTCTAGATGAGACACGATTAAACCAGGAGCAAACTACCCATTTGATGGGTCTTCTACGATCTGTGAACTTCCTTCGTAAGAAATTACCGCCCGTACCTATTCTAGCTATTCACTAACACTTTTTAGTTATATCTATGTAAGATATACGTATTCGAGTGTCATGTTACAGCGTAGTGGGAACTAACAATTTTAGCGACGATATTGTTGACTTCTCGTCCTTTGAAATGCGACAAAGCGTTGTCAGAGCGAAGGCATTCAATCTCTTCAATCTTATCCACCATGTTAGCAACCTTGCATTCCTTACATTCTCCAAGCGTGATGTTCAATTCACGACAGACTTCGAAGGTTTGAAGAGTATTACGAGATATAAATATGAGGGTGCCGAAGGCGATGAAGAACGACCGCTAGACGAACGAATGGAATGTGCAATGATTGGAGATGAATCGAACGCCAGAAGAGTTTTGACTAATATTCTGTCAAATGTACGTCACGGAAGTAGCTCTTGTTGGTTGATGAATATCTGACAATTATGGGATACAGGCATTTAAGTATACCTCGGAAGGCTATGTTAGCCTCAGGGTATATGTAGTTTCAACACAGGGTTCTATCTGCAGGATCTGCTTTGAAATAAAAGATACTGGTATTGGTATCTCGGAAGAGGCCGGGAAGTCGATATTTAAACCGTTTGCTGAAGATGATGAAACCGGACGGAAACCCACTGATGGTATAACACCTCCCTTTCCCCTTTGATCCGTGAAAAATCAGTCTGACGATCTGGTATTGTAGGTCTCGGTCTTTATGTAACCCAGAAGGTAGGTGGATTTTAAACTCACCCGAGTCATTGTTAAACTGCATGTATTGATTCTCATCACAGATTGTCAAACAACTTGGTGGAAGCCTCGACTTCTTCAGTACCCTGGGTATTGGTTCAGTATTCAAGATCACGTTCCCTTTCATAAGAGATTCGAACGCCAAGCTGCCTGGAACACAGGAAAAAGTGGAAGACCTATTGCATGTCACTAGCGCCATCCTACAAAAGGACTTTGTCGAACGCCGCCGTGTGTCGGATCCGTTATCTTTGCGACTACCAGAGTCAGACGGAGAAGAAGAGCCCGCAGCGGAATCTAAAAAGGATGGGCCCGCCCCAACACCTACTCCGGGAATTGTTCCAGAAACTGGTCTGAACCCTTCCTCACTTCCGGAAGTCACTCGTACAGCCCCTTCCCCGCCTACTGAACTGGAAGATGAGAAGAAAAAGCCGCCGAGTAATAAGAAGCGGCCCCAATACTCCCCTGCTCCGACTCGAAAAGAGCCACGTAGGGAAGATTCAAGGGAATCTGTGTCATCTACGAAGACCCCAAGTAATACTAAAGGGCTCAAAGTTATGGTCGTTGAGGACAACTGGGCATTGCAAAATATCACCAAGCTTCGGTTAGAGAAATTGGGCTGCGAAGCCATAATTGCACCGAATGGAATCGATGCACTGCGTCTTCTGAGCACGAAATTGGCAGAACCGGACTTTATCTTGATGGATCTACAGATGCCGCTGATGGTATGAGCGCTCCCCTTCTCTCTTTTATACGTGAAGGCCATTATTAATCAACCGAAATGCATTAGGATGGATACGACACAACGAAGAACATCCGCAGTGCAGCAGAACCTGGACTTAAGGATTTCCAGTACATACCTATCATTGCGGTTACCGCCTCGACTCTAGAAGAGGATAAAGAAAAAGCATTCAAAGTAGGCATGTCGGATTACGTCTTCAAACCCCTAGGGATGAATGTTTTGAAGGAACTGATAGCAAAGTATGGGACTAAGCCGGCGCCGACAAGCAATGCGGAGGGGAATACTGGTTTGCAGTCAGAAAATGCAGCTTCTTAGTATAGGCATGCATTTCTATCCGCACCACGATAGCGAACATAGAGACTTTTGGGGTGTTATAGATGGCGAATAGGGGTGTTCTTCCCGATGGAGGACGTTCCGAAGCTATAAGGAGCTAGTCATATGCTGAGCAGGCTGCGGCTACCTTAGGATTAAGAGGGTAATCGATAAAAATGGGATTCAATTATAATTATGGAGTTTTTACTGGTGTCCTTTCGTTGAAATCGGCGAGGTTTGTTTTTGATCAAACTCCTTAAGTTTTGATAGCTTGATGTTGTAACTATAATTTGTCTGGAAAATTCTATCGTTGTGCTTCTGTAAATCCGGGACGTCAGATACGTAAATGCCATTGTTTCTCATAAATCCGGTTTAGTAGTATGTTGATATTGACAAAGTACATATACACGAAATTGTTTTCTAGACCACTATCCGATATTGTAATTAGAGACTTAGAGTGCATTGTATCTATTTGCTCTTGAGACCGCGCATGATTAGGTGTACTTATAATTCAGTTGATGCGAGGATGAAGTCTCTATAAATACTCTGCTGGCTCTCTATACTAGACCCTATCTCGTAAACCAGAATTAATGCTGCTGCGACTAACCTTGGAATCAATATTCTAGACATACGAAAAGTAACTTCTCTATGAGCTCATTGAGATCCGTTTGGTGAATAACCAGATTCGTATCATTGAGTATGGTATGATCAACTGCAAATTGCATTGGGGTAATAACTATTATACATTTGATGCATGCTGATGCTCCTAGGAATTTGTCTTTTTCCCTCTTTCCTCCAAAATGTAACCTGACAAATATGATAAAAAGAAAGATGGGGGAAACAAAATGCAGTTATACAAGGAAAACTCCACTTCAAGTGTGTTTTGGTATAGGTACATTATTGGATAAGAAAAAATTATATGTATGTATTTTTTAGTTTTCGCGAAAAAAATGGTAAGACTCTCGTCAGATATTCGCGTTTTGAGCTTCGATTCTGTCAGAGGATGTAGATTTGGGGATGGGACTTAATTCCTCCGCGCGCGCGCAATTTATTTCGGACTATGCATGAAGTATTTATTTCTCTCCCCCCATAGATATCAAATATGGTTGGGAGGGAAAGGCTTGGTTGATGTTGAAATTTACAAGTAGCGAGCGAATCTCAACTTTGGCTTGCATGGAGATGGCTTGCCGGTAGTAGCTGGTGGAGCAGTGGTAGCCGGTGGAGCGGTGGTGGCTGGTGGCTGAGTGGTGGTTGGAGGCTTTGGAAGCCAGTCACCGACGTTGGGGTTGGATGCTTTGCACAAACCGAGGGCAGCAGCGGTGGACTCTGTAGCAAATATTAGTTAGAAAAACTCTAGTTTTCTTTATTGATCGAAAAATCATGGGAGTCTGAATAACGTACTGTCCTTGTCGGCTTGGGAAGTGCAGCTAGACTCGATGCAAGGGACGACCTTCTCGAAGAATGGCTTGGAGTTGCAAATACATGGGATATCAATACCAGTGCAGCCAGCAGATCCGATGTTGCTAATCAAGCAGGTTTGCTAAGGACTTTGTTAGAAATTTTTCATTCTTGTAAATTAATTTGAGGAGTGGTTCCTGAACGCTTACACCGCAAGATGGGAACTGGTCGATCTGGGCAAAGGCCGCAGTGGCGAAAGTAGCGACGGCAAGGATGACAGTTGAGAACTTCATTTTGAATGTAGGTTAGAGTTGAAAAATGGAAAGTCTGTTAGACTGTTTGATCTTTTAAAGATTTATAGAAAATTGGAAAAGATGTTGAGCGAGAGTCTGTCTAGGCTGTCAGGCTTGGAGTTTAAATTGCTATTCGAAGCTGCTGTTGCTTGATGAGGATGCAAGAAAGAATTGTGGAGAATGGCGTGACGATTGAGGGTTCTTATACATCTTGGAGATGCTGGGGAAAAGGTGGTTAGTTATCGATATCAAGATTGAATCAACTTGTGGTATCAAGGTAAAGTCTGGGGAGGGCTTGTCAATCGACATGGCTTGTGACATAGGCCCCATAGATTCATACACTTACCTTTCTGATGAGGAAGTACAACCGGAAACAATTCCTCGTTACGATGCCGTTCACCAATTCTGAAAACAACCCCCCATGCTATATTAGAGTGCCTAGGCGAGAAATTAGATGGGGATCTGGGGTAATGGGGGCCGGCGCAATTGAGCAATGGGAAGGCAAGGCCTATGGCACGAGTCAAAAAGAAAGTTCGAGTATGATCATGAATGGACCTTGCAGGTTGACATGCCTAGCTTCCCGGTGTATACCAGGATCAGCTCGAATGGAATCATGGAAACTTAGATCCTTAATTCGATTTGAAAGTCCGAGAGGCCTTCCGAGTCTCGGCGGTTGAAGGGTCGAGAGGGCGAATCATCAATCTTCCCATAGCGGCCCGGATGTTTGAGCGATTGAATTCTCGATGTTACATTAGATATAGGATTATTAGGGTGTATGTAGCATGTGAAGTCTGACAGAAGGTTCGTGCATATCCACATGTAAATGTTGTATTTTTTGGGTTGGGTTTGCGAAGGTGGTACACCGATTAATCTATTAATCTTGGAAGAATACGAGGAGGCACAGCGAGCATCAGAAGCGGGATCCACTAGCTGGTCCACCATAAGCGTCGTTCCTCGATTTCGAACACCCTTAATACCAATATAGCAGATCATGTTTTGATATGTCTATCAAAATGCGGAGTTCTGGTTCCTATCGAGAAAAAAAAAGAAAAAAGAAAAAAGAACAGTACTGGGGTTGAGCGATTTCCAAGTGGTGTTCCCCGCGCCTCAGTGCATGGTGGCTACCGAATCGATCTATAGCTAGAATTACAAGGGTCACCCCAACCACTTCCCCGCGGGTGCCCAGACCCACGTTATTTACTATTTAGGTAACTGCTATTCACATGCAGGTGTTTTAAGACATTCCAATGTATTTCAAGAAGGCATGTGGCATGACTTCATCTACAAGCGAGATGGTCTAAGAAAGCTTACACAGCCCAAAATTTTAGAAATTAATCTTTGACGATGTCGTTTTTGGCCTAGCTTTCGAAATCTCCTCTGAACCCGATCTAAGACATCACTCCCTGTGAGGGGTTTGTATATCAGTCAATTGTCTTGATAGGAGTGGCAATGTAGCCTACCCAAAAAGTGCTATGCTGAACGTTATCGAGCTCCTATCAACGATAATCAATTCTAATCGGAACACTGGTGTCTCGAGGAATGTAATTGGGAAACAGGTGACTTGCGTGGAACATGCTCCGCGGGAATTAATTAAGAGACAATCCTAGCAATGATCAGCAGAGCCAGAAAGTCGACGACGGGGAGGCGAGATTCATGGTCTCTCGCAGTTCTCCGATTATCATAACGAGAGTCAATATAATATTGAATAAATTAATAACTTGACCGAAGTACTACGTATTCACGGCTACGGATACAGAGAAACCGGGAAAGATAGCCTCAACCCCTCATCGTCTGCAGCCCGATTTCGTTCCTATTGCACATGGGCTAGGTCGACATTTGCAGGAGGTTAATCAGTCCTCGTATCCTTTAGCGTCCCGTTTCCTCCAGCAAAAGTGGGCTGATTTGGAAAAAAAAAAAGGATTATTGACCCATTTTGAGCCGTCACGGAGAGATGGCACCGCTACCCGTGGCGTTGCAGAATCCTAGGATAGCATACGCAAATAAGAAAGCGTAATCGACATATACAGTTTCCTCTTTAAACAAGCCTAGCAGTCAAAAAAGCTTGGTAGAGTGGTGGGCCTTAGCGATCTGGGAAGGCCTTTCGGTAGGCGTCCGATCAGTGCGCAAGTAAGATGTAGGTGTCGGCTTGTACTCATAAATAAAATGGCTGAAACATGTATAATTGAGGCTGGAAATTTACACCTATTTCTGGAACGTTACAACAGACTAACCAGTGCAAAGGCTTTGTTCAAAATTTTGCTTGTGAAAGAATAATCTCAATTAAATGAACGGTCAATGTAATGGATATTCCTTTAAACGCTCTACCTTTCCCCGCACTTTCCCCAAGAAACTTGGCTGTGAGTTAAGCTCTTCGGCAGGACGTCTGCGCCTGGGGGGGGACAAGAAATCGAAACATATCCGAGCGAGCCAATGACTACAAATTCTTCCAACACTGTTCTATTAATGCAGGAACATTAATGGCGGTCTCAGAAGACCCACACTTCAAAAGCAAGAAAAATTATTAGTGAGGGAAAAGCGGGTTCGGGAGCTACTATGATATGAGGCTGTAAAGTTAGGTGTGGTTATTGATCCTGGTTTAGAATCTCATGAAGCCGAGGCAGATGTATCTGTTACTTCCTATTCCTACTTGCGTACGAGCAATCAGGTTGAACTTATTACTGTTGGTGACATCGTTCATGATAATCCCAGTCAAAGTGGACCACACCCTCTCTATACCAGATGCAAGATAGTATACTAGTACTTAGCCTCGAATCCACTAGTACTATGGTCTTGCCCAAATATGTACACAGCTGCAAAGTGCACAGCGAAATGAGCACAGCTGTACAATTGTAAGAACTATGTGTACGAAGAACCTCTCAATCATATGCTTCTTTTCCGGGGTCCAAGCTTCCCCAGGATTGATAACGGAGGTACTGCCGATTTGAGCAGGTGGGGACATGCAGCAAGACCAGGGTGCTTCAGGCGATTTTCAACCACACCCATTCCCGCATTTTGTGTTGTCTGATGTTGGGTTTTTTGCGTTGCCATTTGTCACCAAAGCAACGAGCTCTGGCACAGTTTGGTTACGAGACTGGCTCTGGCCAACGTAAGAAATTTAATTAATTTATTCAGGTTCAATTTACTTGATTGAACATATATTATTTTGCACATGATACTAAGGAGTCTGCAGATTGCTATAACCCTGTCCCGGGGTTCTGATCTGTTGATCAATTCTCTGACCTCGTGGCGCGTTTTACGGGCAACCGGCCGGGCTATGTTATAGCTATAGTTGAGACGAACCCAGATTGACATGTAGCATTGCATTTCATTCATTGCCTATCGGGCTAGCTTCCCGATAGCTAGTCTGAGTCGATATCATAGCTCAGTCGAAGCTCAGGAACAGAAATTACAAGGGCAATCCCACATGCTGGAATCGGGGATAACTGGGTAACTTTTGTTATGTTAGGCTCCTGTTACCAAGACTCCTTGTCTATGCACCGAGACCATGTTTCATTATTCGATTCAGAAGGAGCGCATGGGAAGGGCTGGGAACAATTGACAAGGGACGTGGTTATACGATGCGAGTATTTGGGATTTTTTAGATTTTAGTCACCCTGATCCAAAATTTGCGAAACCGGACTATGGCCGTCAATGACGTGGTCCTTTAGGAGCACCTGTACTAAGCTTACCATGGCTGTGGGTATTTACGTTATCTTCGAATCCGTGAAAAATCAAAATAAGGCCTCAAGTCAGAGTATACGTAAGGAATTTAAAAAGGACAAGGTAAAGTCTGACGGTAAAAAGTCCCTCGTAAATAGATGCAATTCCTAGCTGTTGGGTAAATTAAAACTACATGGGGCTTGTGATTGTGAAAGCTAAAGCTATGTAAATTATACAAGAGGGAGGGTTTTTTATGACAAATGAAGATTAAAGATATGAAGAAAGTAGATGTTTCGATCCCGCTCCAACAGGTTGATATCCCGAGCACGCACTCATAAACCCTTCCTTAACCCCTGCGTCCCCGGTCCTTTAAGACAGCTCTGCTGACTTTAGTTGGCGCCCGATTTGATGTACCGAAATGATATTTTCGTGACTTATATGATTTAAATAAAAATGCTGATATGATACAATGTTCCGCTAAGAAAGAAAAAAGCAACTTTACAAAAGCAGCATTCCAAGGACGAATACGATGAGAGAGTAGAGAGAAGCACTGGCATGTCTCCAGCTGGATGCGGCACCGGTTTGTACTGGTGGAGGAGCGGGGACGGTTGGGGAAGGGGCAACCGAGGTCACGAAAGTGGTTTCCTCGCAGTCATCGGTTTCTGCTGGGGGTTCCTCTTCGCAGTCAGTAGTCTGTTCGGGTGGAGAAGTGGGAGTTGGCTCTTCAGTAGGGCCTGGGGTCGGCTCTTCTTCGCAGCCAGTCTCGGTAGGGGTTGGCTCCGGCTCCTCGCAGTCGGTTTCAGTAGGAGTTGGCTGCTCAGTTGGCTCTGGCTCCTCACAGTCCTCAGTAGTAGCTGGCGGTTGGGTAGGCTCTGGCTCATCTGTGCAATCATCCGTGGTGGGAGCAGGTGGCTGGGTAGTTGGCTCCGGCTCATCCGTACAGTCATCTGTGGTCGTAGGGACTGGAGGTTGAGTCGAGGGCTCTTCGGTGCAATCATCCGTGGTTGGCTCGGGAGGAGCAGTAGTTGGCTCAGGCTCTTCGGTGCAGTCGTCGGTAGTAGCTGAAGGAGCAGTAGTCGGCTCAGGCTCTTCAGTGCAGTCATCAGTAGTGATTGGGGGAGTAGTAGTTGGCTGGGGCTCCTCAGTACAATCATCTGTGGTAGTCGGCTCTAGAGGAGCGGTGGTGGGTTCTACTGTTGGCTCATCAGTGCAATCATCAGTTGTTGTGGGTTCTGGAGGAGCAGTAGTTGGTTCATTGGTAGGCTCCTCAGTGCAATCATCAGTGGTAGTGGGCTCTTCTGTAGTGGTTGGCTCTGGGGGTGCTGTGGTTGGCTCTGTAGTTGGTTCCTCAGTGCAGTCCTCCGTGGTGGTTGGCTCTGGAGGCGCTGTGGTGGGTTCAGTCGTGGGCTCCTCAGTACAGTCCTCAGTGGTGGTAGGTTCATCAGTAGTAGTAGTTGGCTCTGGGGGTGCTGTAGTGGGCTCAGTAGTGGGCTCATCAGTACAATCCTCAGTGGTGGTTGGCTCTGGGGGTGCAGTGGTCGGTTCAGTGGTCGGTTCTTCAGTGCAATCTTCAGTGGTAGTTGGAGGCTCCGTCGATGTAGGTGCAGGAGGCTCTGAAGTTTCACTATCACAATCCTCAGTAGTTGTAGGCTCTGGTGGGTTCTCTGTCTCCGAGGGTTCTTCCGTGCAGTCTTCCGTAGTAGTAGGCGCTGTAGTAGGTTCGACAGTAGTGGGACCTTCTGTCGTAGGAGGCGCCTCCGTGGAAGTTTCCTCCTCACAGTCTGTTGTCTGTGGGGGAGGCTCTGACGTGTTTGCCGGGGGCTCTGTAGTAGTAGGTGGTCCATCGGTCTCCTCACAGTCAGATGTTGGCTCCGCGGTAGTTGTGTCGCCCCCAGGATATGTCTCACCAGGTCCGGTAGTTACAGGAGGTTCTGTGGTAGTGGTATCACAGTCGATAGTGCTATCAATGGTAGTTGGGCCAACTGTAGTCTGAGAAGGAGGCTGTGGCAGATTGGGGATAGTGATGCCCAAGCCAGCAGCGGCGCAGATACCTTGAGTTCACTCAGATTAGAACGAAGTCGAAGCAGGAATACGATATGTATTGAGAGGATGTTCAACTTACCAACGGAAACCCCAGAAGCTTTGAGAGCCTCTCCAATGCTGCAGCTTTTAAAAATACATTTCCCACTCGCAACCAAGAACTGCTTGTTCTTGCAACTGCATTTGAAGTCCATAAGGCCACAGCCAGTCTCAACAATGTTCTTAGCGATACATTGCAATGCGCAACCAGGATAGTCGTTAATACCAATGGCTGAAACGGCAGAGTTTGACAGCAAAAAGGCTGCCGCCCATAGAGTCGAGATCTTCATTCTCTTGAAGTTGAGTCTCAAGCAAAGAGACGGAGGATGGAAAGACAACGAGAGACTGAGTAGGAGTCTGAAGCCAAAGAAAAGTAAAAGAGAAGACCTTCCCCTTCCTCGATTGTGGATACCTATTCGCTTTTGAAGTCCAGTTGACAAAGTGTCAAGCGATAGGATGCAGCTGGCTAAAGGTCATGAATCAGACCCCTACCTACCTATAGCCTCATAATTCCCAATTCTAAGATTTTCTTTTATTTTTTTTAACCCCAACCCTTCTCTATTGTGGCCCGGTCCCGATGGGTGCTCTAGCACTTGTAGGCTCCGGGGTATCTCCACATGGGCCTGTCGAACCCGCATGGAGCGCAGATTTATTATATCGCAACGTGACCAAGTTTCACGCTGCATTGTCCAAATCTGCGCCGCACCTTTCATCTTAATTCCTTGATACGTAGGTGGGATTATCTAGCAGGTGCAGGCCAAGGCGGGAAGCTATGCCATTTTCTTCTATACGAGAGAATTATAGTGGTCGTAAATGGCATGCCACCCATCTTCGACATGGAACCCTCCATCAGCACCCTAGTCATGCCGTAGATCAGATTAGGAGATCGTAGTTAACATGGGAGCTGGGTTGTGAACGTACCCAAAGTAATAAGAAACACTTTTCTTTTTCATTCTTAATCTGTAATTTTTGTTTTTATTTGGCGGGTGTGGTTGAGAACATTTTTGTATCGTTCAGGAACTTCGATGGAGCTAAGTGCTGTTGTCGACATGACTGTAGTCCACCCATTCCATTTCAGGAAATGTCTCCGGCCTGTAATCGAGGGTGGGTCGTTCCCCGCACTGACAGGGGTCTTGGAAGAAGACCCAGGATCAACCAGGGGCTCCACTATTCAGTTCGGCCATCATTCTGAGATATCAACACCACAAGGGCATGTGAGACCGAACCGACCGGCATCCTTCCATCCCGTCAGAAGAAGCAATCCAGTAGAAGGATATCGATACACCCGCATCGCAAATTGCGAAGGAATCGAGTAGCTTCCTATGCATATGACGTCCCATTTCTCAACGATATGGGGAAACAGAGTTCATTTCGCCTAAGCTATCTTTATCAATCCTGCTGCCTGATCCCTTCAATTTGTGGGGAAGATTAAAGCGAACCTTACCATGAATCATGAGCGAGAATCGAAGCTTGAATTGATTCGATACCTATCACATTTGATATCAATAGTTTCCGCATGTGCTTCTTGGACAAACAGATATCTGCGATATCGGATTTGATGGAGTCGCAACCATATGCTAGACCAGAATGAAGATCGTATCCGATTCATTTCCTTTCGGGGGCATTTTCGTGCCGCCTCTTAGGTTTAGAAATGATTGCTGATTCGAGTTTGGCCTGGACCGGAACCGACGTGAATCACAGGAAGAAAAAATTTAAAAGGTTTTCTAGAATTTGCGCGCACTGTTGCACTTACAGGTGTGTTGCGCAGTTGTGTTGAAGGGACGTTGTCCAACAACATGAAAGCCGCCAACGCGTCCACACGTTAGCTTTAGCGCTCCACGTTCAGGACCACGTCCCCCGATTCTAGAATATCACAATCGTCAGAACCGTAGCCATGTCTGCCAGCGATACGGAACAGGAGGTTCGTCCCTATAATCTATAAACCTATATATGCTATAATTACTAATTATGATATCTTGCAAGGGCAATAGCGGCTCAAGTCTGCACTATGGTACGCTATAAAAAAACATACCGTCCTAGCATTCTGTATGCGCAGGGACATGTTGAGGAAATAAAAGATACCTCCTACTAAAAGGCGTATAACGTCCTTTTGGCCGCAGGTACCACGTTGGGAAACTAGTCGATGAAGCATGTCTGGACTTAAGCGTCAACGCGACCCCACAGTTCATAGGGTCCTTGACGGAACTTGCCTGGGTTCAGCTTGGTACGTATACATACCCATTATAGATTTAGATACCGCCGGTCGGTCAATTATGAACCTTCATCCTTGTATTAACAGGTAGACGGCATGAAATACTAACTTTGCTTACACGTGGCGGGTAGATAACATCGCTAAAGATCTGGAGAACTTTGCAAAGTATTGCATATCCTATTCATCATCCAGGGGTTCCCAACCCTTTTCTAGATCGATGCATCATTTTTGCTAACAGGAATTTTGGTTCGGTAGGCATGCAAATCGAAGCACCGTCTCCACGGCTGACGTCCTGCTCCTCGCGAGGAAGAACCCAGATCTTCATGGGCTCCTGCAGAAGGTTGTAGACGACGAGGCTGCAGAAAGGGCTGCTAAAGCGGCGGGAAAGTCAAGACGATGATGCCATGATATTTCATATTACGTCTTAACACTCTTTCTTTTCGCGCTGTTTTTTACTCTTCCTCAGCCAGATACCCCTCACATAACTACTGTCTTATAATATTATCCTGCCCAGCTAGTATAAATGCCGGTACCCTAGTAATCGCCGGGCTATTCAAGACTTTTATTCATGCTATGGTCATGTTATCACTACCCCTCAGCGCCTATAAAACCGTAAAATGCTGATTCGGAAGGTCAACTGCAAAATGAGAAAGAAAGAAAGAAAGCTTAATAACTTAGGAAAATCCCCCCAACAGTTTCAACGCAATGGGAGAAAGAAAGAAAAAAGATCACCACGGTTCCTGTTATCACCACTGATTCTCAAAATACCTTCACCGGCTATCCGAGAATGTCCCCTCCCCCAACAACTCGCCCCCTTCTTTTCTTGTCCTCTTTTTCTTTTGAAACCTCCCTGCATTCAAGCCTGACGGTTCGAAAGATCACTAATAACCCTTTCGTAATTTTTGACCCTGGCTTTATAGACCTCAAGTCGAGATTCTTCGACCTTCCTATCCCGCTCATCTATTGAGTCTCGTAGAGCCGACTCTCTGAGCTTGTTCTCCTGTCTTAAGACTGTCCGCTGGGCAGTTTTCAATTTCAACTGGAGTTCTGATATATCACCCCTACTATCTGGTTGGTTTCCGACGCTGAGATGGATCGAAATATCCTTCGACAACGGGCTTGCAATACTGCCAGAAGGAGCCTCGTCTCCTGATCGAAGAAATTTAATGTCGGTCACGCCTGACTGCTGCTGAAGCTCGGCCATATGCTTCTCTAAAGTTTGCTGAGAGATAAAACATCCTGACTTGATGTACACTACGATCAATCAAAATTAGTTCTGAGCGGACCTTTTTTTGCAAATAATATCCCTAGGTAGCGGAGAATGACTTTTACCTTTGATCATCTCAGGATAGCCATTTTCCTGGCATAGTGACCGGATCTCCTTGGCGCAATTCATGATCAAATTGAACTCCTCTTCTGCATATGGATATTCGTACTCAGGCGATCGTTTTGGGAATTCCGCCAACATGATTGATGGAGTGTCATCATGGGGATATTTAGGAAGTTTCTGCCATAGCTCTTCGGTGATAAACGGCATAAACGGATGGGTTAGTCGCAGAGCGCCATCGATCACCGCGTACAATGTTTCAGCGGCTGAAAGTCTATCTGGGTCAATGTCATCCTCTTCATAGCTGTGGTAGCATTTCTATGGGGATTTAGGAGGTATTGGTCAGCGGTCTTTCCTTTGTATATACGCTGTTTAAACACGACGCGTTCCCCCGGGCGCCCTCTCAACATACCAAATACGTCGGGATATGATGACACCATAGGTTCTTAATACCCCGTGTTGCTTCCCAGAATCTTTTCTCTTCCATCGCTCCTTCAACATCCCGACTGGCAGTGTTCAACCTGTGCAGAATGTATCGGTCCCCAATCCCTTGAGCCATCCGCTGCCCGTAAGCCGACTTCATCGGCTTATAGTCGCCTGGGAGCATCCTCAGTGCTCCCTGGACCGTCTCATACAACCCGTCACAGAACTCACGGCATTTAATGACGCTTCTGGCGTCAAGAAAAATGGTTTGGGCTATATACTCATCTTGTCAGTATACCTTTCTTATCCATCTCATGGATCTATCACTTACACTCCGAAGTTGAGTCTACTAATGCAAATCTCAGTGCGTCGGCCCCACACTCTGGGATCCCGTCTGGGAAGCAAGTGGCCTGGAATTGTTTCGTCTTGTCAAGCTCTTCGCTGCTTGGTGCCAGGCTTAGATTCAGCTGCTTTTGGTTCAGAGCTTCCAGCGTGCACCCAGTTATGAAATCAACTGGGTCGATGACGTTGCCGAGGGACTTTGACATCTTCCTGCCCTCCTGGTCCTTGACCAAGGGGTGGAAAAGGACTTCTCCGAATGGAGCTTCGCCTGTCAACTTGAGGCTCACTGCAACCATTCTTGTTACCCACGATGGCAGGGTATCCGATCCTGTGTCCAACATTGTCGTTGGGTAAAACTCGCGGAAATCCCCCCCCTCAGGCCATCCAAGGGTTGAAAGCGGCCAGATGGCAGCACCAAAGCAGGCATCAAGCACCGCCTCGTCTCTTGTTAGTCGAAACGGCATATCCGGGAACGCCAATTCACCTTTTTTTCGAGCCTCCTCTTCACTACGAGCTACCATCCAACGGTTTGGATTTGACTCGTCAGGCTTTAAGGCATTACGTTCTTCCTCCTTAAGACTTAAGAACCATGCCGGGATCTGTTGGCCCCACCATAGATTTCTTGATATGCACCAATCTTTTGGCTCCTCTAGCCAGTTCAGATACTCCTTTTCGACCGACTCTGGCCGTATCTTGATCCTCCCCTCTCTGACAGCCTCAGCTGCTTCTTCTGCCAGATCGTCCATTCGCACCCACCATTGGGATTTCGACATCAGCTCAACCACGTCCCCTGATCGGTTGCAAATCTGTAATATCTCCTTGCATGGCTCTCTCTTGAGCAGGAGACCCCGGTCCTCCAGGTTTTCAATGATAGTCTGCCGCAGCTCGAACCTCTGCTGGCCCTTCCAAAGATCCCCGGCCTCGTTTACTGTCCCATCTTCTCTGAAAACAACTACGGATTGTAACTTGCTTCTCCTGCCGATCTCGCAGGCCTTTTCACTATGTCCAGGTGCAACACTTATGGCGCCAGTTCCAAACTTCGGATTGACTGTGAAATCTCCGACAATCGGCAGCAACCTACCAGAATACGGATGTCGGGCGCTCATCCCAATCAAACGGACATACCTTTCATCGCTAGGGTGTACAGCGATGCCCGAATCCGCCAACAGCAGCTCTGGCCTCGTCGTTGCTAGCTCGATCCAGCGGGGAGTATTATCGTCCTTGACAATGACGTACTTGTAGTAATACAAGACCCCAAATTCGATTTCCTCGGCATATCCGGGGATCTTGATTCTGGTCGGGCCATTAACCTCCAGCGTGCCAATTTCGTGCTCGGAAACAGCCGTTCTAAGGGTAGGGCACCAGTGCACGATGTGACTTCCCCGATAGATTACGCCCTGTTCGTACAGCTGAATGAAAGCCTCCGCGGCTGCCTTTTTTCGGGTCCCATCCATCGTAAACGCCTCTCGTGTCCAATCCACAGATGCCCCGAGACGTCGAACTGTTGAAGAGATTCTGCCACGATATTCGTCCTTCCACTCGTTCAAGTGCTTGGTGAACCTCGGCCGGCCGATCTGGTGGCGATCTTTTCCCTTCTCACGGAAGAGTTTCTTTTCAATGATGCATTGGACGGAAACACCGGCATGGTCTGATCCGGGTAGGAAGAGGGTTTTGAAGCCCTGCATACGATGGTACCTTACAAGTGCATCTTCTAGGGAGATTGCGAGGGCATGACCGCAGTGAAGATCACCGGTGATGCTTGGAGGTGGAGTGAACATCGTAAAGCACTTCTTGGAACGGTCATCGAAGGAAGCACTCTGAGAAGCCTCTTCAACATTGGCGAGACTTGGTGATGTGGACGGGTTCGTATCGGATTGGTTCTGGACACTGCCGTCTCCGAACGCCATTGCCGATATCTCAGAAAATTCCAAACCTCTCTCGTCGAACTGACTTGCCTCTGAAGTAGTCGCCGAAAGGGTACCGGTGATACTAGCCGGAATTATGAGTGGTCGCAAGTTCTGACGACCTCGGCTTGCCGTAGACCTCTCGATGATTTCAACACTCTGCTTTCGAGCATTGCTAAGGTTCGACCAACTTTCCTCAGAAGGCCGAGATGATAGTGGATGCTGTGGACGACGCCAACGGGCCTTGAAATAACCTTCTTTTTCCCAGATACCATACCATTTTCTCTCTACCTCACTTGGCTGGTATAGGTCTCTTCTGGATGATAACGACTACGATAATGAAATTCCTCGATTCAGCAAAGAACAAGAGAGTTTTCGAGAAGTTATAACGATGAAAAAGAAAAAGAAAAACTAACCGGATCCTGGTTGGTGGCCATTGCCGCTTCCCGAGTACGAGAGAAGTAGCTTTATCAATGCCGATGACCTGGATGAGAGGGTTTTACAATCAATAGATTGACGTTTTGGATTAAAGTTCGCTTCATAGAGCCCTACTACCAACTACAGCTCCAGAAAGGATAGATAGAGTGACTTGGCCGTGATCAAGTTGGACGGAAAGCTTGAAGTTGATGAAAGTGGTTCTGGGATGTGCTCTGGAAGTGTTTCAATAACTGGAAATGACGTTGAAGAGGAAATAGAAGGTGACGCGACTGCTGAGATAGGATGATCTCCCCGTAGCCCCAGCAATCCAGGTGGCCGACACGACACGACAACACATTTTGGCTCCCAAAATACAACACACTTGCTAACTCACAACTACGGATGGGATCCCAGGAGCTGTCCCAGGAAGATGACCGTTATCTCCTAAAATTTACGAGATAGCATACGATTCGATAGAGCTATATATCAGGTACCAGAGCCTACCCAGCTCGAGAAACAGTTCTTTAGCCTTTTTTGCATCAGCACGGTACCTTTTGTGTTGTGTTAGAACATGTATATAGATGGTTAGCGCGGGAATCCAAGGCGAATTTAATAGGACAACGTTTAATTTGAACAAACCACCTGCACAAAACTTCCCTATAAAGCACCAGCCCTCGTTCGTCAATGACACTCCAGACTGTTGTAGGCAGATGCAGTTCTTACACTTACGGAATGCAACCTAGGTATCTTCATTTGTGTGTCTACCGGCCGAAAGCCAGCTCATTCTCGCTTTAGTCAATCGCAAACGGGAGATTTGTCAAACCCTGGTAGCTATTTTAATCCAGAACCCATTCCCGTTATACTAGCTTAAAGCATAGACGGCTGGGCCGCGGACTGTATACGAAACGCCATAGGGCCCCAATATTCCGTTCGTAATTCTTAAGAATATCGGATTATTAATCAATTTAACTTGAGCTCGACATAAAATGCAACAGTGCCCCGCGCGCCTAGCATCGACTTCTAACCCTCCCTACCTTCATAAACTCGGTCAATTGCTTTCTAGCTTCAGTATTTTGGAAGATAAATAAATTAGTACCAGTACTCGGAAGCGATGGCTGCGAAGCAAGCTATTGCGTTAGTTGCCGGCGTCGGGCCAGGCACAGTATGCCTCCACACAACTACTCTCAACCTTACTGATTACCAGCTAAAATACTAATTACAATATTCGCATAGGGTGCCGCCATTGCCAAAAAATTCGCTTCGTTGTACAATGTTGTTCTTCTTGCCCGTACTCCAAATTCCTACGAAACTACGGTGCAGGAAATCAACGAGTCCGGTGGCACTGCTATCGGTTTTCCAGCCGATGTCCGAGATGAAGCTAGTATCAAGAAAGTATTCGAACAAGTAACTAAGCAGTTCCCGGATAAACCTGTTGCGGCGGCGGTCTACAACGTCGGCGGGGTTTTCATTCGAAAACCGTTTTTGGAACAGTCGGTTGAGGGGTTTAAGCTTGGATATGAGACTAGTGTGTATGTGTCCCTTAATTGGATGCTTAGGCCCTAAAATTCTAGGGAAGTACATAGCTAATATAACAATCTCTAGCCTGGGTGCATTTATCTTTGCCCAAGCTGCTCTCCCGCACCTCATTTCCGCGGCCAAATCTACTCTTCCCCACCCTCCATCCCTCTTCTTCACAGGCGCTACAGCCGCCGTAAAAGGTTCGCCATATCTTCAATCCTTCTCACCCGGTAAATACGCACTGCGTTCTTTAACCCAGTCACTCGCCAAGGAATTTGGGCCGGAAGGTGTACATGTGTCGCACTTTATCATCGATGGCGTTATAGATACCCCCAAAACGAAAGAGTGGTTGAAGGATGCACCTGAGGGGAGTAAGATTGACCCTGCTGCTATTGCAGATACTTACTGGGCGGTGCACCAACAGCCTAAGACGACATGGACTTGGGAGTTGGATATCAGGCCTTATGTTGAGAAGTGGTAGTATATGGTTTGAAAGGCTTGGACCCAGAGGCGGAATGTTAATCAAATGTCATGGGTTTTCCTGACTTTCGAGTTTGCGGATCGCCAGACAGCTGTCTGGGCGTTCTTGGTGTAAATACAATGCAGATTTATATTATGGCTGTATTATTACCGTTACAGTACAAGATATATAGTCTATATTATCACCATCTGTGGATATGTTGAATATTTGGTACCTGGGAAACCATGCCTCATCTCCAGGCTTCACTTGTCGACCACAAGAATGCACCATCTCTATAGTCACGATTGAATTGCTCATCTGTACATCTTTAAAATGGGTCATGGCCACAGATCTAGATCATTCCGAACTTGCCTCATCTTCAGAACCGCATCCCCGAATCCCAGCTCGCTTGATCCTCCTTGCATTCTCATTTCCGCTTAGACTGGGCCCGGAAGATATGACCAACTTCCTCAAGAAAAACCTCGTTCTCCCTGGCCCTGCAGAATTCACAGGCGTGATGTTTTTTATACCCAACGAAGATGTGGCGGTTCTGCCTCGAAGCGTGAACGCTAGGCTATAGGGAGCGATCCCCAGACTACCTGAGCGCGAGGTTGCAGAGAGTGTTACTGTTTCCCAGAGAAAGTCAATATGCCGGCTACTATCATTCAGGGGGCACCAGACGACCACATTCTGTATAATACCCAGATCTCTCAAAAAGATGGCCGCGAGGTAGGGGTTGTGGGTGCACATTGCGAAAAATGGATATATTGCATAACTAGGGTGGAATAACCTGGATATAGAGGGTATATCCCAGATTATACTGGGTTTAATTAATTAAATGGGAGATCCGGTAGGCGTGTGGCCTAGCTGGCCACCAAAGGGGTTCGGCACCATGCCTCGGGACGTGCTTTCGAGTTTCATTGTTAATCTTTATGGGTACACTACGCAAACGGCGTTATTGGATAGGATTGAGTTACATGGTCTGGGGGATATGATTGACTTTGCGGATTCCAAGCTTGTTTAGGGGCCATAAATCAATTGATATGGGTTGTATGTACCTCGCTCTTTCCTGTTATGTTACATCCATATATTCCTTTCGAAGAGGCCAAGAGTTCAGCCTTGTGGCTCTTGGGGCTCCTAGATCCTGTTGAGCTTGCATATGGTTACACCCGCTACGAAGTTACGAAAATCAATTACAATAGGAGCCATTGTGACCCTACGAAGTAGGGCTTACACATGCATCTTCGAACTCGTATGAAATGCTCATGCATTGCACTTTTGACTAAAGTAATAATAATTATTGATAGCCTTCATCACTATAACTTGAAGATACATCCCAAGAAAACCAATCGTAGGAAACGCCCGCACGAAAAACTTTCGTAAGAACAAATTGTGCCTCTCCCGCTCCTCCTTCCTATTCTCATTACCATACCATATTAGGGGATCTTGTCGCTCTGCCAATTAAAATATAAATCCTAGTATTAAAACAGGATGACATAATAAAAAATGAATAAAAATGAAAGCAGACGACCGTGTGGTTTGTTTGTTTTACGTAACCACTAGTTCATCCAACCCGATAGTGTTATCGGGGTTCCAAGACGACTTTGTGTAACGACGATATGGTATATTTTTAATGTTGGGGGTATGCCATCCCAGCTGACTGCTGGTAACCAGCCTGGTTGGCTGGAACTAGCAGAGCCTTCCTAGTTTCGGTCTCACGATCTTCTTGGATAAGTGTGCAGCACTGCGAATAAAAAAACAATTAGCAAACAGCCTAAAGAAGAAAATGAAGAAAATGAGCCAAAGCTGGATGAGAATACTAACCTCGCACCAGAAATGCCTGCAGCAATCACCACATCCGGATCCCTGGAGGTTGTACCTCTGTCTAATCTCGCCTCTCTGAATCATACTCATGACCCACTGGAAACCGCAGAAAGACAAAGCGCAGAAGCCCCAGCAGGAACCATTGCAGTTGCTATAGTTCGACATGTCATTATGTCGGAGTCTGTGCTGGATCTTGCTGTAGGTGATACATGGACACCAGAAAGTCACACAGCCTTTAGTTTATCCATCATCACACGATCAGTATTCGGTCATGGTACGAGGTTCTGGAATAATAGTATGTATAACTTACATTTTCCACAATCACCGAAACAACCGCACATCCCATGCTCCCAAGGACCTGGCTGGCCGGCATGGTTGGTGATACCCTTATGCTCCATTTGTGGCTGCGGTGTAGGTTGTACGGGAGTAGTGATTGGCTGTGGAGCGGGAGAATGCTGGTGCTCTTGATATGCAGGATACTGCTGTGGAGGAGGAGGGGACTGTTGGAATTGTTGGGGTGGAGGAGACTGTTGAAATTGCTGCTGCTGGTCCGGCTGAGGATAATGCTGCTGCTGCTGCTGCTGGTAATTTGGAGGAGGAGAATGGATAGGTTGTCCGTATGGGGCTTGGGCCTGATGGTCCGGATAGATAGTCTTTGGTTCGGGCTGGTATGACATCTTGGGAGAAAGGGGGGGGTCTCTGTGGGAGGTTTATATAAATCTCGAGATAGAACGGCTATACTACAATGCTCTTAAGAACGGCTGAAGATAAAAGCCAGACTGAACACCTGAAGTACGATATGTCACAGGCCGAATGCAGGGGTCGGCAGGAGTTCCGAGTAAACCTTCTGTGAAGGACGAAAACGTTCTTTTTTTAAGGTTGAGGAAAGTCGCCGGGAACTGGGCTGTGCCAATTCGCGCCACTCGAGTGAGCGAAGACTGTGTTGGTTTTGTGGTAATTTTTGGACTAGTTCTCTTTCAGCTGTTCGCTGTTCGATGTCAGATTCGAGTGTTCTTTTGCTCAATTAATCAATTAATTACAGACACGGGACATGCAAAAATTAAACTGAAAAGTGTGGGCGCTTTGATGCAGGATACAGCTGTCGAAGACAATGTATGTATGTACGTGGAGGCCAGGAAAATACTCATCATGCCGGGGAAGTAAAACTTTCTTACCAAAAGCGCATCGACGGTTGGTCAGCCCTAATCAATTTTAAACCGTCCCGATTAATTTCAAATTCCGAATTTCGCAGGTCGAATATAGATATCCAGGCCGTTATGTGCAAGAAGCCCTGGTCGAGAGGTGGGTATACCACAGTAAGCAGTGACGGATAGGTACGAATTTCCAGTTTTTTGTAAGTTATTGCGAGCTGTTTTAAAGAAAAGAAAAATCTTCCTGTCACGGTGAGCATTCATCTGTCGCGCTTTTAAATCTCTTTCCCAGTCGCCTGGTTTTTCTTCTTTTCCATTGGTGATATAACAATGCATTGGGCCTTTCCAACTAAACCCTCTTGTTTCTGATACTAACATCCCTACGATCTTGGTTAGCGCCAGTGACTAAAGAAAATCACTGCTCCATAAGACCTGCAAGTGTGCCATGGCTGACATGATGGACATGATGGCTGCGACTACCGAACTGCTAAGGTTTGAAGGCCCATGCACGATCTTCGGACATGATATCACATACGAACTACTATGTATATATCACAACCTCACTTCAACGATTCCCTTGACTAAAAGACAAAAAAGGGATAACAAAGAATCATTCTTCCGTGAAACACGTACAGGTCCCAACAGTCTCGAAAAATGGTCGCGGAATCCCCACAGAAGGGGACGAAAACTAGAGAGAAAAACACATGTCGCGCCCTGGAAGGGGAAGTTGCCGTGTGGTGTCAGCGAATACATCGCTTGCAGGGATCTTGTTCCCTATGTGCATAAGATGGTCCCGTTCTGGGTTTTTAGCTCAGAGAGGTGGCATGGCACAGCATGCATGCCAACTTAGCGTCGACCAGCCGGGCGGGGATCTTGGGGGAATCTTGGTGATGAGCCTCGAACCCAATCTATCGTCGCTATTTTAATACAAGAGTTTGTGAGTCGCAATGAAGGAGCTAAAATTACAAATGGAACCCATCCGTAGATGCTTGCTTACTTATAGGAACTTGTAAAATGGCCTTTTTTTTTTTGGAAACGAGCCCAAATTGATTGAATCTGGTAGGGACATTCGATTTACGGGATAAGGCGATCCTCTTGTTGCATAACGACCCGCCTAATTAATTCCTATAACGGAGATTATCATTTTCTACCAAGGATAGTTTTCACGGAGCGTTTTCACTTCCCGTCAAGGCTCAAACATCATGTAACCGGATTTCGGCAGGCGGAGCCTTACGGTTTGTCAGGGAATTCCAACGCCTCTTCGTATGCCAAGCCGGTCCATCAATATGTTTGAAGGGCGTACTTTGCTGGCCGTGAACTATGTATAATTTGGAGCTCGGAGAGCCGCAGGGAAACGCCTTTAAGGGCTCAAAACTCGTCTATATCCTAGGCAATAATATCGGATATACATCTTCATCTGGCCTTGCCAGCATTGTATTCTGACATCTCGAATAAAACAAAAAAACTTTAACACAGCCAAGAAGGGTAAAATACCCGCTAATTTAAAAAGCAGTGAGAAGCCAAAATATGAATCCAATTCAAAAGAAACACGAAAACGCCAAACCAGATGCACTATCACAAGTATTAAACAGCCACCCTCTAGAATCCCGAAAGAAATCAATGCAATGGAAAAAAATAAGAAAATGATCGTAAAAAGAATGCAGAAAACCCGACACAATTGAAAGCTCAACGATACCTATGATCCATCTCCTTTTTTGCGTTTTCCACAACATTTACTGCTGTTTCCAATATATCCCCTCCCTTCCTCCAGCTTACCAGCAGAACTCCCTGTCCTTGTTCATCCAGAGCTTTAGTTGCTTTATCCCATCTTTGCCGCCATAACCACTCTTTTTTGTCGATGCCGCTAGCCGGGTCCCACGTTTCTGTGCTCGTCGCTCCGCTCGGGTTGGCATACAATACATTACCGCTGTTACCAATGGGCTGGATTGTATGTTGATTATTCGAAGAACTAGCAATGGAGTTCGTTCGGCTTATTGTCGTAGTGGATTTATCAGAGTCCGTAGGCGCGCGTAGAGTAAACCTAGGAGGATCCATAGCACCAGATGTGCTCCTTGGACGAGTTGGTAGGTTGGGAGAAGAGAAAGAGGCGCCCCCAGCGCCCGGACGAACATTTGAAAACCCATCTCGTATGATTTTTGGATTTCTTGGTGTGTCAAATATCGCCGAGGACTCTGCCTTCCAGATCTTTGGCGGACTGGGCGACTTATGCGGTGGGGAGTGAGGAGAACCTGACTTCGGCTTCTGTTCTAAAGTCATATTTTCCGTAGGATCCGAAAGGTCGATGAGGTCGTCGCTGGAGGACCGATAGATGTCGATTGGCATTGAACGAGGGGGCGACCTGCCATAGTGGTTTGTCGCAGGCAGTTTCTTGCCTTTAAGGTCCGTTGGTTTCTTTGGTAATGGCGGTGGCGCCTTCTTAGGGATGACTGTCGTGGTCGTAGATGGTGCCGTAGGCGCCGTCGCAAATGACGCAGTAGACGAGGTCGGGTACAACGTATGCCCTTCCATTGGCTTCAAAATAGTTGGTCCCTCGTCGTCATCCGAACTTGAGAAGTCAAGTAAGTTCTCATCCTGTTGCGGCTTCCTATTCGGCGGTGGTTTATGCTCGGAAGGTGTCACAGTACGCCGGGGTGGTACAGCTGGCCGGCTAGGAGACCCTCCAGTATGTTGAGGCCGTAAAGTTGTCGTGCTAAGATTATTGCTCTCAAAGAAACCGATATCCTCCTTAGTTGTGACATCTCGTATAAAAATTGCCCTAATCCGCCCAGGGTTTGCAAGCGCCACAGCAACATAAACCTCCAAATCAGCTTCTCCGGAATCTCCCACCATGATGAACCTTCTATTAGGAAAGTCTCGCAATATACGCTCGAGACTACCTTTTTTACGATCTTGGACTGGTTCAAATATGCCCTGAAACACGGACTGATACTGCTTCAAATGAAAGGAACCACTCGGAAGGTTCGCAGCCTTGAAGTACTCTCTAACCAGTGGGTATAATTGCCACGGGCTGTTCGAGACGTAATGTATAGGGACATCCAGAAACGCCAGTGTATTGTACAATTCTGTGATTCCTGGTATTGTGAGTGAGTGATAGTCCCTGACGAAGACGTTCCGTGCCATTTCCCGCACCCCTGCAGTGACTGCGGAATTCTTTATTGTATCGTCAATATCGGATATCAAGCTGATTCCATGTGACTCGAGAACCTGAACCTGTTCAGTCACACTGAGCCTCTCTGATGCTAATACTCGAAGCTCTGTTGGGATGAATCCTAATTCTGCACGTAAAGCAAACTGGCCGTATGCGTCCGTGGTAATCGTATGGGATTCCGATTTATTGTCATTGTAAAAGAATATTGTGACAGGCACATTGGGGGAAGCTCTCGCCATAACATGGAACATCCGATGCTTCAAGAACTCATGCGCTGTATCAAGCTCTTTTGATGTAAGACCTGTCGGGGCACTCCCTGTAGGATTCTTGGGTTGCATGTAACTCGAAGCATACGCCGCCGCGCGCCATGACAGCTTCTTGACTAGTCCTGACGCGGGTTCGGATTCCGATTTACCTAGTTCCGAGAGGTTTGCCGAGCTTGGTCTTGGTGAGCGTGCTGGGGAGAGAGATCTTGTAGACGTCATTCCCGATGGGAGTGTGGAAGGGCCCATTTCGTCATCGCTCAGACCATCAGTGTCGAGATGCCCCGATTGGAGTCTTGAAGCGGCTTCCATGTCTGCTTTTCTGTCCTCCTCTGTCACACCTCTGCCCTGTGCAGGTAAACCACACAACTGTCTCGCAACTCCCATTAGAAATCGATTCTTTCTAGTAAGGACATTTGACGGTGGCTCAAATATCCAACCTCTAACATCAATCTCGGCGACTGTTGTACTTTCCGGTGGGTTAGGCCGATCATGAAACTGTGTCGGTTCATCGGAAAATTGACGTTCATGCCGATTTCTTGATGTAGACCTCCTTCTCCTCTTTTCTTCCTGCATAGTTTTCCTCGCATAGCTTGGGAATAGAATCATTTCCTCCGTCCCACTAGGCCGGAGATCTCTATCTGTCCATTCTCCCGACTGCGAACCGCTCGCTGTTCGCCCCGAGGAGCTTGTAATCGGCTGGTCTATGTCTTCTCGGCCTCTATAGTAACTTGCAATATAATTTTGCCGAGCTTCGTTCGCAGCCCGAAATGCGCCAACAATTTTTGCCCGCCGAGCACCGGGCTCTCTCGGTGGCTGCTGCTGTGCATTATCTTGGTTCTGTGATGGGTTTCTATAGCTTCCCAGGTACGCCGTCGGGTCCACCCAAGAACTCAGTCCCTGCGCCATTCTTCTAATTCCCAATAAACCAGTCCGGTGCCGTTTATTTAATGTACGTTTATGCCGTTTTACTCGTCGCTTGGTCTGTCGTGTAGATATATAATGGTAAATTTGTCTATGTAATCTTTGGAGTGGAGTTTCGTGGAGGTATGGAAGAAGGTGTTGAAGCGTTCCTGTTGGACGAAGGAAGCGAGGTAGTAGTGTTCGACTGTTCCCTGGAGGGAATATTGAACGAACAAGGACAAGTCCTTTACGAACGTATCGGCGGAGGTTAAAGAGGGATTGTGGACGTGGTAGAGGTGCCAGGGCTGCGGTCTCGTGAGGGAAGGCGGTGGGCGGTTTGGAGGGAATAAGCGGAAGACTGTAGCATCATCTGAGCAAGCTTGCGGACGGGCGTTAACTCCAATATCCCTAATACTTGACAAATAAGTAACTGGATACCTAGAAAAGCTTGGATTGATACTCACTTTCTATCAGGAGGCGCTTGTCATGATGAAGCCAGACGTCATTGGCCTTCGTGATGCCTTAAATGCAATCTTGGGTATCGGATGGCCCGCGAATGTCACAGCAGGATGGGATGGGATGAGCTTTACGCAAGCCTTCCGCCGCCAACGGCCCAGAAACGTGCTGGTGTCGCACAACGCAAAAAATACCACAGGGTGCTCAGATGGCGGCTCCGCCTGACCTTGTCACTACACCCTAAGAGCAGAAAAATAATTTACAGCTGAGGAACTAGGGCTTCTTGGAGGTCATGCAAGGTACCCAGATGGGTACATGTTTGGTTTACTATTTCTGGCAAGTTCGCTAGCTTAAACAGCCGATATCTATCTTAGTTATCAATCCGTGGACCGGATCCTAACCATTTGATATATATATATATTGATTTCCTCCAAATAGGCTTATGTGAGTTCGACTCTCAGCATAATAACTCATTAATCAAGGAGGCCAGTTAAATAAGCGTAAACGAGGTATATTTTTGGTAGCCTAAGCAGAAAATGTGTCTATGGGGACCCATTTTGGGGTTTAACTCCATTATATATATTCAGATTAAGTCCTATATTCAATTAATTAATTCCTTGAGCCCCAATAGATCGAGGTCGGGTGGTTCTGTAATATACGTATTAACCGTTCTAAATATTATATCACTAACTATCTCATATAGCACCGTACTCTCGAGCTCAGTACGAGTATAAGTGTAAATTAGATTTTCAAATATAAACGATTTGAAGGCAAATTCAACCACGCATCCTCTATTCTATTCCTCTTCTACCAGGGTCTCCATGTACATCATCACCTTTCGCGCATCAGACTTACTAGTCTCCAGACTCTAGCTTAGGAACTATAGATACACACTATTAAAACATAATGCGGTCCCCATTAACATTAATGAAATAGGGTTGGCTTTATAAACTATAACATACCTTAAAAATGTAAGTAATATAGATACACTAACATATACCAATGAAACCGATAACGGGAAATCTTATTCGCCCTTAGACAGTAATAGGCTTCGGGGGGGTGTTGCGAAACAATATACCCAATACCTAATATGCTAAGTCATGGGCTATGAGTTCATAGCTTGTACAATTGTACTTCAACTAGCCCTTCAGGACGGAAAAACGCAATTGTGGCTTTGCCCCCGAAGTGATAGTCCGCCGAGCCCAGCGCTCGTCATAGAAAGTATCATAACCGGGCCCCGTGTCGACCGGGAGGCCTAGGGTAAGGACAGGATTAACTTGATAACCTCGGCGGGGACGAATTTAACCAGGGAAGTGAGGAGAAACTTTCGAAACTCAAGACCGCCCTAATGTATACTATTAACTAGGACACCCGACCTAGCTAGAAATTTCGAAAAATCATCGCCTAGATTAATTATTGATTTGAGGCTAGCAAAACCGTACAAGCAATATGATAGCGCTAGTGGTTCTGCGTCATCGTATGATTTCTGTCAAAGCAGCCCCTCTTTCCAATCAGAGAGATTTCCCCGCAAAATCTGAAAAACCCACATGCATGTTAAGTTAGCCATCCTATCCGAGAAAGGATATGCATGTATGCCGATTTCTTAAAAAGGGTTGTTTTCTGCACATCAAAATGGACTCAGGGTTTTTATCATGATATCAGCAGACATTATACATTAGTGAAGAGATCAAGCTATCTTGGCTTGTAACGTTGAAAGCCTTGAATCCTGTCTTACCAGTTCGAACTGCATGTATTTCTGTACATGCGCCGACGGCTACCGTTGATTGGCGAAAGTAGGACTATCATAAATACGATATACCAAAAGGCGGTTAGTCCGACTTTCCAAATTGATAATAAGTATTGTATGTATGTGCACACCCTGTAGAAGCTGAAAGCGAAGGACTCGTAGTTCTCCCAGGATAGCTCGACCTCTAGCTGCAGAAACCGAAGATCATATGTCGCGCAGCATGCCATTATAATATTAGCTTTGGTAGACATGGCATATCGAGTATCTTCAATGGCCACATGTCATGGTCGAATTATAGTTCGTAGTCGCAACCAACTTCCCAGCCAAAACTCCACTCAGTCGTCGAGATGGTACCACGGAGATAGACCTCGAAGCTTTTGCGGTGCCGTGTGGTAATTTCCCTTGCCGCTAAACTCTTCACGGTAAGATGCATGCTGTGCTGTTTGACGCCATATGCATGGCTGATGCTAGCCACGTCAGGACAGAGGCCGAAGCAAAGCTAGCAGCGAGCTAAGTCAGACACGAGCTGGGGACCCGGCCCTTTGATAGCATAGCTAGTTAGCACCTTCTACTGCGGGGCTACTCGATTCACGTCCTATCCACGTCCTTCTCTCCGAACCTCAACCCCTCCCGTGAATTCATCAATTCTATCCTAAGTTCCCAGCCATAAATTCTGGATTTCTAAAATACCACAATTCTCCAACACGCACCCAATTGACATATACAGAATCTCTCCGCAATGTCTACTGAAACTGTTGAAAGCTCTATCCCTCAGGGATCAGAATACCACTATTATAGGAGCAAAGATAGGAAGCCGCTTGGCTCGCTCCCCGCTGAAGATGTCGAGAGCATTACAGCGGTCATCAAGAAAATTCTCAAGTCCGTTGAGGCCCAAAAGACCCTTCCGATCTTAATTGACGGAGAGGGAAGTCTCGACGAGAGAAGTTGGGAAACTTCTCTTGCTCCACCTCCAGAAATCTCGAGTTCTACTCTCATGAAGTACTCAAAGGAGGTGGATAAGTATGATTGGAAGGAATTGCCAGTTAATTCGAAGGTACAGAGCAAACCCCTATCAATTCCGTAAGCCTTGCTGGTACTAATTCGACTGATTCGTCAGATCCTCGAAGAGTATACGTCCGCACCAGCAGATTCATCTTACAAAAAGCACCGCCTATTAGAAATCATCCTCACTGCTGTCCACCACTTGGCTATAGACCTTTACTCTATCCACCACCCACCACCAAAGTCTAATACCACTGACCTCCTCCCGCCGCCACCATATCCTGTAATTGCACATACCCAATACTATGCCTCTAAACCATGGAAAGGCATTTACGATCTCAAAGCCATCGGATTCTGGGCCGAAACCCAGCTTTTTGGTGGAGTAGCTTACTTCGACCGTAGTCACGTCCCAGTCTCGGCCGAGGATGCTGGCAGTTACGATGGTGTTTGGTTACACGGTCTGCCTAATGCCTATACTGATAGCTTGTGGAAGGTGCCTGATGAGGTTGTCGCTGCTGCTCTCGACGAAGCGTCTCTGCCGTTTGATATCGAGAATGCACAGCACCCACCACTCCTAACGCTGCAGGAAGGTCAAGAAAAGCATTCTATCTTCCGTGAGCCGCATCTGGCGAATCACGGAACATACACAGGGGATGAGAGTGAAGATGTTGGAATGACAGCTGAAGAGTACGAGGAATGGACCAAGTCGAGGACAACAGCATAATAGCTTTGGTGCCTCTAATATGTAATGTTACTATGATGCCCATCAGAAATCCCGGAGATAGTACATAAATCTAGATAAACGAATATAATCTATGAGTAGTCTCGTATTGGACCGCATCTATGAGTACCTACCTACATAGTCAATAGTACTAATCACCCTATCGTTTTGGGGGTTTAAAAGACTCCAGTACCCCCCATACTCAATAGCCCATTCTTAGTCACCACCATCTCCCTCTTTATCTCCCCAACATGCCTACAGCCCATCAACTTCATCACAACTTCAAACTCCCTCTTCAAAGTTTGGATGACCCACCTAACCCCTTCCTCTCCTGCCACCTCCAACCCCCACCATACCGGCCTCCCAATCCACACAAAATCTGCACCTAAAGCCAAAGCCTTGAATATATCCCCACCTCTTCTTATCCCACCGTCAAGATGTACAGGAACTCTACCATTCACTTGTTTGACAATTGCAGGCAAAACATCGAGCGCCGAGACACAGGTATCAAGTTGTCGACCACCATGATTAGACACCATTATGCCATTCGCACCATGGGCGATCGCTTCTTCCGCATCCAATGGATGCAGTACCCCTTTCACCCATATCTCTAACGACGTGTGTTCTCGTAACCACGTCATATCTCTCTCCCAGTTTATCGACGGGTCAACGATTAATTGGTTGCCCCGAGATGTTGTAGTTTGCTCTTGTCTACACGCGGCAGCGCTATCTGGATTTGAACTGTTTGCGATTTTTGCCGTTACAGAATCATCATTAAATTGCGTATCCTGGGCTTGATCTAGCGGACCACCAAAGTCCTCGGAGAAATTCCTGAATCTCATATGCTTCGGCATCACAAAGTTGGATTTTATCAGTCCTGGGCGGTTTCCGGGGACTGGACTATCGACCGTTAGAACTATGGCTTTATAGCCGGCAGCTTATTCTCGTGAAATTCCCATTGTTAGTTGTTTTGCTACGAATATGGGCCCATATAGCAGCTATTCGCAGGGACATACCTTCTGCCCGTTTCACCAACTCGATATTCAAATCCCTCCTGCCTTCCAATAAATACATTTGCAACCCTACCACACTATCCCCACCAGCATCTTTCACTTCCTCGATCGTGTAATTTGAAAAGGTGGATAACCCAAACGGGATATTCATACTTCGCGCGGCTGCGGCCGTAGCCTTCTCGCCAAAAGGGTGTGCGAGTTGCTGCATCGCTGATGGAGCAATACCCAGTGGAAGTGACCATGATTGGTTGAATTGGTGGGTTCGAGGAGTAAGGTTTACATTCGACGTGTCTAGAAATTCCATAATCCTTGAGTTAGTACCTCCAACTTTCTGTCATCTTATATAAAATAATACTATTCAGATATGTAGAACTGTTGCATTTTCTCGTGTTGAAAAGGTGTTGCAACTGTCACAATTCTGCAGGATGGATTCGATCCAAAGATGCCTGATTCACGTACCGCGCATCATACGTGGGATCACCAGCCATCGGTCCCAGACTTCAAGGTTCTCACGAATAGTATGCCCTTCCTCTGCACCGTCATAGAGGTAGTCCCTCACCATCGGCGCCATTGTTTCCAAACATTTTGCCTCAAGGTCCTTAAGGGATAAGATTTCGCGGGGTATATTTGGAGGGGTAGAAGTGCCGTTCATTCTGGTAAATTTTAAATTTGATTTATCCTCAATGGATACTAATGCGATTGCAATTGAATTACTTATACTATAGAAAATAGGGGGGTCCGAGGGAAGGTATGCTAAGCTGGTGAATTGGCGGATCGGATAGAGCGTGCGACATCGGTTCCTTTATATTAGTGCAAAGGATCTGACCGCGAGATGTGCTCTCTAGTGTCAAATTTGTAATAACTGATCATACTATCATGACATCAAAACGGAACATCGAGGTTCCACAGCGGCACACAGCCGAATTCCTCATCATGGCGTCGCATAGTGTCAATTCATCTGTATATATATCACCGTGTAAACAATTCTTCAATATCATTTGTGGGAAAAACAGAACAATTCTTCCATTTCATTTGATCATCTTGTGCGCGGTTGAAACCATTCAAATCCGCGGGTTAGACAAAGGCTAGTCGAGAATCTTATACAAACAACAAAACCACCAACTAGCCAAACAGGACGGTTACTTAAATGAAAGGTGGGGCTTAAGTACAATACACGCCTGCAAAGATCAGAAATTAAGGAAGTCCCAAAAAAAAAAGAAGTTCTCCAGCAGAAAGAAAGAAGGCTTTTTTCCCAGAACCCAACTTCCCAAATTAACGTATAATCCAAATTCAGTGGTAAGAGGTAGTAATAGCGGAGGGGGTAATCAGGAGGGTCATAAATTATACAAAGGAAAGGGCTCGTGAAATAAAAAAAAACTGGTTCTAGACAGTTTAGAACATGGCGCCCTTCATGTTGATGGAGACGGTCTTGACTTGAGTGTAGTTATCAAGAGCAGCCTTGCCCAACTCACGGCCAATACCAGATTGGCGGAAACCACCGAATGGCAAAGACCAGTGGAGCAAGTTGTAGGAGTTGACCCAGACCTATTTCGCAGTAATTAGCAATCATTCCATAAAAACTTGTAAATAGCGTGAAATATCGACTTACGGTACCGGCCTTCAATGCGTCAGAGACCTTGATAGCAGTGTTCAAGTTCTTGGTGTGGACGGCAGCAGCCAAACCGTACATTGTGTCGTTGGCAACCTCGACAACCTCATCGGCGTCCTTGAATTTGGCGATAGCGCAAACAGGTCCGAAAATTTCCTCTTGCATGATCTTCATGTCATGCTTGACATTCGAGAAGATAGTCGGCTTGATGAAGTAACCAACATCACCATGTCTCTCACCACCGATTTCAACGGTGGCACCTTCTTCCTTACCGATCTTGATGTAGTCCATGATTCTGTCGTATTGAAGCTGGCTGACTTGTGGACCCTGGAAGGTCTTAGGGTCGAATGGGTCGCCAACAACGTTCTGGGATGCACGCTCCTTGAAGCGCTGGACGAACTTGTCGTAGATGCCTTCTTGGACGTAGATACGGGAACCGGCGCAGCAGCACTGGCCGTGATTGTAGAAGATACCGAAGTTGACCCAAGAGATAGCATCATCAATGTCAGCATCATCGAAGACAATATTTGGCGACTTTCCACCAAGTTCGAGAGTGACCTTCTTCAAGTTGGAGGAGGCAGCAGCCTTCATGATTGTGCGGCCGATGAAGGTGGAGCCGGTGAAGGCGACCTTGTCGATATCCATGTGCGAGGCGATGGCAGCACCGGCAGTCTTTCCGAAACCGGAAATAATGTTGACTACACCAGGTGGGAAACCAGCTTCCTTGCAGAGTCCGGCAGCAACGAGAGCACCAAGAGGAGTCTGCTCAGCGGTCTTGAGGACGACAGTGCAACCGCAGGCGATTGCTGGGGCGATCTTCCAGGCCCACATGAGAAGTGGGAAGTTCCATGGGATGATCTGGCCGCAAACACCAATTGGTTCACGCTTGGTGTAGGAGAAGGTGCCCTCGGCTGTTGTGATGACCTTTCCGTGAATCTTGTCGGCCCAGCCGCCATAGTATCTTAGACAACCAATGCAGGCACCGATGTCACCCTTGGCCATTGTTATGCTCTTGCCGTTGTCGAGAGACTCAACGGAGGCGAGCAAGTCAATGTTCTTCTCGAAGAGAGTAGCAAGATCGAGGAGGAGTTTGCCACGGGCAGCGGTAGACATGGTGCGGTATTCGCTGCCATTCTTGAAGGCCTTTCGGGCAGCAGCAACAGCCTGTCACGTCCATCCATCCATATCAGCATGTATTCACGATCGATGCAGGAACTAGTTGGAAGCGGGATGGAAACATACGATATCGACATCCTCCTCTGTGGCCTCGTGGACCTTGCAGATAACCTTTTCGGTCGTGGGGTTGATGACCTCGAACTCCTGACCCTTCTTTCCCTTGATGAATTCGTTGTTGATGAACCTAGGAAGGTACCAAAGTCAATATAACCGTCTATAGGCAAAATTCACTCCCGCGGTTCGACATCATGCATCTTCGGCTGGAAGAATGTGGTCATCGGTGGCAAGGCAGCCGAAAGGCGAAGGCGGGGCACATCGGCTAAGGGAGAGCCCCACAAAAAGTCTCCGTCGCGACACTACCGCTAACACTACTGCCACCACCCATCGCCACCAGCATGAAGCCATGAAAGGAATACCGAGAGTGGAAGAAACTGTGGAGGGGACCAAAGACTATGAACTTACAAGCCAGTTGGCTGCTCGTATTTGCCGATTCCGGGCACTTCCAGAGTTACCGAGACCATGATGAATTCTTGATGTGTGGTGATTTGATGAAAACCAACGCGAATATGGGAATGATGCGAGTGGGAGAGAAGACTATCTGCTAATTAACTGGAGACGAAGGTTGAAGCTTGAAAGAATGAAGATCCGAAACTCAGGAAGGATACCTGTGCGAATATATAGTCTTCTACAAGTTGGCTTGAGCTCGAGAGCAGACGGTTGCCGTCCGTTGTCGCCTTCCTCAAAGTACCCAGCCATGCAAAGCAATTAACCAGAACATGCACGAAAGTAACTTTCGATACACCAGAAAGGTTATCCTTCTCTTGCCGCCATTATCCCGGCATATCGTTACCCCTTCCGTCAGAGGCTGCTGACCGGGCAAGAGGAAGATGCCTTCGCGCCAAGGGCAAAATGTGGGGTTTCATCGTATCGATTGGGATCTCAGTTGCATTGCATTGGCCTCCCTCCGCTACCAAGATAACGAGTACCAGAACCAGAACCAGCAAAGATAATGGAGCTAGACCAATGCACTAGCTCGAGCATATACGACTACACGGAAATATGCGAGTACCAGTCACCTATCAAGAGTGGACTCACTAGCGTGGCGTAATTTACGCTGCGAAAAATGCGGGGCAATGGAGAAGTTTTTTTGTATGAAGAAATCCTAGTTCTCGTGACGACACTTCGACCCAGACAGTGTGTTTGCAAATTTGCAAAGTCCCTGGACAAGGTCTAATTAGATCTAGACCAGTGGGTGTCTCTTATAGTATTTTGGCCCTAGAATCTGAATGAAATTTCTAGCTTGATCTTGCCGCCTTTTCAACCTCGGGTACTTAGTACTTGCTTGCAGCGGTTGGGAAAACACGTCTCAAACAGGAAATCGTTACGAATAGTCTTCTGCAGCAAGACCGGCCAAAGCTTGCAAAGCAAAGTCTCAACAGTTCTATTGATTATCATTATAATCACTTCACAGATAAAGCGGCACAACCGAGTACAAGCTTCGGAGCTTTGAAATCATCGATGTTACCCCGGAATCAAGAAAAGCGCCCCCATAATCTTCGAAGTGGGGACGAAAACGCGAAGGGAAAAGGTCCGCGATGGCTAAGATGCGGGGTATGTACGAAACTTCCTAGTTTCCGGCGCACATACACGCCCCAAGCCCAAACAGACCTCAAACCCTTCATGACACTACCTTATCAGGTTAGCAGAATGTACCTTGGAGCTTCAATTCCGGCGAAGCGTACCTCTATGAATTTCGTTTTATTCCCGATGGTCGGCCAGTTTGGTTCGTTATTCGTGGTCTTTACTTAATGACTATTGAAAATAGAAAATAGAGCAAGTACATTTCCCCTGGTCTAACAGGGGACTGATCGTTAGGTACAGCTATCATGGTAGCGAATCGGAGCGGGTCCAATAGGAGACCTCACCCTCATGAGCTCGAAGAGCTTGTCCCTTACTTTGCGACCTCTCCCGCTGCAACACGAAAATGCAAAATATAGCACACCAAGACAGGAGGAACCAGGCTCGTATCGACTCCAGAGAAGGAATACGAGGACCAGGAAATCCCTCTCACAAATATCGAACAGAGCAAGAGGGTTGCTATGTCGTTTCAATGTAAAATTAATATCGCCAGATATTGAGATATATTATATCATTCCCCCCAGGCTGCATCCATCTGTCCAGTCGTTTTTTTTTCTTTATTTCCATTCCAAAGCTTTGCACAAAAATCAGCCGCCCGCAATGCAGGGGGATTTCTCGTTACACAAGCAGATGATAAGGGAAGAACCCACCCGCAAACCCGACCCGTCCTCGCAGACAATTCGTAGGTCTCGGTGCATGACCGTCGCCCGCATGTCTTCCCAGTCTGGAGGGTTTCAATATTGCTTCTGGAAATACAGGTGTAAGTCATATGCATTACATCTCTCCAGCCTCCAAGCATGGAGTACACAAAGACCGTGTTCTAGATGAGCTGTCGACCCGTTTGCTGTCACCAGGGTCTGGTCAGGATCAAAAGTTGACTGGGTACTCTCTCAAGACGATTTTGTCAAAAGATCTCGCGTAATTGCGAGAACGCTTTTGTAGCGCAATCTCAGCTCGTTTTCATAAAATCCATCAAATCAAATCCAAAGCCTCCGGCACCATTTCCCGTTGCTGCAGACCTATTCGCAGCCTCTTGTGCCAGCATACTGGATAAAGTATTTTTTCGCGACTTTGCTCGTTTCTTGGCCGCAGCATTTGTTGACGCCGATAATGTTGTTGTTGGAATTGGTGTCATCATCGATCGATGCAAGTCTCCCGCGGCCACAGGTATGGATTTGAGTTCAGAACCAGCCAGAGGTTTCGGTAGCATGCTTGTTTGTAAGGTTGGTCCATGCGCAGATGTTTCTGATGTAGTCTTATCGTGGCTAACTGCAACTGGCTTTTTCGGGAGCGAATGAATAGCTTTGCGAGAACAGATTTTGCAGGAATAAACCATCCGAGGCTCTTTATTCGCAGGAAATGCGGTCCTGGGTTTCTTGCGTGATCCAGCTGTCTCCGACGTCGCCGTCTGTGTCGCCGTCCCAATGGATACAGCAGTGATAGATTTAATTGGCACGTGCGAGGCAGGTAGTTCCTTGGACACTTTCTTCCCCCGACCGCTCTTTGCGCCTCGAGTCCTCTTCCCCCGCTTCCTAGCTATTCGTGACAGATTCTTCTCTACATCACCACTAGTACCACTTAGCACCTCGGTATCACCGTTCTTTTTGTCGCTCCTCGTCTCTCCCTTCAGGTTTTTGGTCCACCCAACTTGGGCGTCCGCTCCAATCCCCCTCACCCGTACCGAACAAGTCGACCCAGGGACTTGTGCATACCCACATGCACCGCATGTTTTCCTCCATGTAGAATCCGACAGTTGGATATTCGACTTAGAGGCATTGATAGATAATGTAGACGAAATATGGGCGGAAACAGGAGGAGACGAAAGGAAAAGTGCGTTTGATGCTGTGTGAAGATGGGTGAGCTTCAGATGGGCAAGTTTTGTAGCTGATAGCATTGTCGCTCGCTTTATGAAAACTACTACTTAGATTGTAGTCAAATGTATTTTCCGCATTACCACAATGCCTTAGAAGGTGACTATAATTGAAAGATGAGAATTGGTGCTCATGTGTACAAACGGAGCCGGAGACTATACGAACTGCATCGCTGCTGTCCGAGTTATGTCGCAGGGATAAGTGCTATATTATCACAAACGCGAGAGAAGCAAGAGAAACAATACAAAAATATGCGACCGGGTTTATCAGTGCCAAGGTTTCGGATTTAAGATTGGAGCCGAGGTTAGTTTGCAACCGCAACGCAAAAAAAACAACGTCCACAACACCAGACCGCAGCCTTGTGACCAGACCTTTCGTCGTCCGAGCCTTCTTTTAGGTATGCATATATGCAATTTTGCGAAATTTATGGATTAATTTGCCGATTATTTACAGTCTCATGGCCAACTGATATCCCACGGGTAATATTATTTAACAAACATGACTCTTATAATTTTTATGAAGTGTACAGCCTAGTCCTAAATACCAACTTAAGCAGGAACCGATGTTCCGAGTGCTCTGTCTATGACCAGACTACCATTAGGTAGGTAGATCTCATGTATCAAAGCATTACTGTTGCACGCAATATCGATGAATAAGCGTCAAAATTTGGAGCATGCCCGTCTGCCTAGGTAGCCATGTAGGTACTTACATGACTACCGGTTACCTAAATTGCAGAGAGTTACACTATAGTACTAGTACTAGTGCATAATCAATTGATCAATTGATCACGCCTACGTAAAAGGAGTTGATCTACCGGAGTGGTAGCCGTCTAGGCATAGGGAAATGTGCATTGTATTCTAGTGCCTATATTCCTCTAAGAACTCTAGCTCTATACACATCCTAATGGCCTCAGGACAAACCTACCAATCAAAACACAGGTTTCCAATCAGCATATGAGTTACAATCCATATGTCGAAATTAATTGGGCATTTGACCGCTGTGGTGTCATGTTTCACAACATCCCAAACCTAATCTATACGCATGTAAATCCTTCGAACCTTAGAATTAAAGGCACGACTAGCCATTGGCTAACCTACCAAGATCATTGACTATTAATGGAAACGCCTCGCCCAGAGTCCCAATACAAACATCATTCCCTTGCACCTTTGACCGCTGAGTATTCTGTATCCGCTAGGGCTCGAGGTCATACTTCGATGCATGATAGCCCAAAGTTGTACAGAAAACTCATAATCCCGAACTTCAACATTACACAACCACGTCTACAGACATTGCATTCGATAGTCGATAAGCGAGGCATGAAATCCACCAGTGTGAGACTAAAATAATCAGCCATTGTCACTCGTGATTCGACGCTCGTGTCTGGAACAAACAACTCTGATATCAAAATGACTATTTTCACGTATCACAAAACGGCTTCGAGAAGCCCAATGAAAAACATACGCATGCGCATGCGCGCCGATCGATCGGATATCAGAGATACGTCAGTACTACCAAGACATGACAATTTGCTGGCATAAACCCCCCGGATCAATGACAGTAATTCTGCTTATAAATAGAAGGTGGGACTGGCTCGGAACTTCTATCCAGTCAGCCTAGCACTTTCTTCACTACATCACCCTATACCATCTACTAGCTATAGAGGATACTTTTTTTAAAAAAAAAATTCCTTGCGAACTGACCAACCAGGCCAGCCTCCTCTTCTTTCTCCCCCAAAAGCTAACCACTTAGATACTACCGCGGAAGACAAATTAACCTTCAAAATGCACCATTCGCAAACGCGACACGGCCATCGCTACATACCAGCTGACCAAAGTTACCCCATTCGAAACGAGATCCTTGCAGACGAAGCGCATGTTTCCGTCTACTCTGAGATCTTCAAACATCTCTTCTTTCCTTACAACGAATACCACCGTTTTACCAGCAACCAACACTACCAAAGCCGAAATGGTCTTACTTGGCTAAAACGACTTTCCTATGACCGAGTTACAGCGGATAATATTAATATTGCGAAAATCGACATAGCATCAATTACACCCTCGACTGCGAAATTCAGTGCCGTATACGATACCGGGGATCTTGGGGTCAATACCCCATCCCTTGGTATTCGCTTAGAGCAATACAATCATAATTCCTCGCGAGCAAGATACGGGAATAACAGACACCTAGACATTGTAGCGGAGGCGAAGTTCCCGCTTTATGATATCAAGTCTTTAGCCGTAAGAAGGATTGCAAACGATGACTACGGTCGTTTAGGTAGTAAATAACCCCCTTGTTCATATACATGCAATAGTTTGATGTGTTTCACGCTATTTTGTAGCCGACTAACATTCTATTGGCATAAAATTAAGATAACGGGTATATGGGGCAAGACCCAAGCCAGGACGACTACACATATGAAGTTACATTCAACCTATCATCCTATGGGTCTGGGGCTCGCCGCTTTTCTCTGAGCCCACATTACCGAGACCGCGCGCAAGACAGTGCAGCAAGATGTCTCAAAGACCTGCATAAACATGCAGAGTCAATAAAATTCTTCATCCTAGGACCCCGAGAGTCGTGGTTCAGGCTCAAGAGGCTCCAGGCAGAACTGGGGCTTCGCGCTGATGTGGGAAATTCCACGAACACAATTTTCGTCGGGCCAGAAAATAGAAATAGGCGGATGGGTCGTCGCTGGGGAGGATCTGCCACGGGAGGAAGAGATATGTGGAATAGGTCACCCTCTTTCGAAGAGGAAGAGGATGACGACTTCGTCCGCGGTGACTGGGTGAACGTTCGTGCGGAAAGGAGGTACGGGTATCGTGATAGATATCGCGATTGTGATGTTGATTATGTGTATTAAATCTTTCGTTTTCCTTTTCCCTTTCTCGACATTGATTTTTAAATTTTTTTTAACTCCTCTTCGAGGTATAGAGAGCATCTACCCTCCCCAGAGGGGCTTGTTCACCCCTACTCTTTCTTCCTTTTTGTTTCCGAAACTCTCTTAAAAATTTTCTTTATTTTTATTTTTTTGAAATAGCACTGCTTTCCATCTAACATACAGATGCGATCAATTGATGTCAATTACAAATTGTTACATGTTCTCAGTTTCTGATTGCGTCACACCCCCAGCATTCGTTACAAACTCGGCTTGCTATTTGTTTTTATGCACACTGCGCTCCTGTTATACTTATTGCATTTCTTTCGCTGTATCAAGATATTCACCTTGAGATCAGGTGAGGGTGAGTAAATCAGAATAAAAACATTCTCGGCAACTACAATAGCATGTGCTTAAGGTCGTAGGAATATTCTAATAATTAATTAAGGGAGATCGTTTTGAAATTTAAAATAACAATGTATTAATGCGAGGAGCCCTATAGGCCCCATTGAGTTTCTAGCCATAAGCCCAGCGAATTCTCGGAACGAGTTCGGTCGTAGGGCCTTCCCCCGATCGAATCACGATCGTGACATAATTATATAACTAAAGTATAAATTTGAAGACATATGATAGCTATATCGATGGACCCACCACGAGCGTGCAAAAATCCCCAAACTTGATGTGCGAGTGCGCTCCATGCACATACGTAACCAGCTAACCATGGAACCTGGGCGTTTACTGTCGACGAGTCATGTTCATCTGTACCTCAAGACTCAAACCTGTATGTACAGCTAGGACAATATATAAAATCTAAGAAAATCCAGTTTTTATGCATGTCCGGCTTCGCGTTGCGAACGTTGGAAACAAGTACCCCACAATTGGATACCGAATATACATTTCCTGGTCTTCAGCTATTCAGGCTAATTCCGGAAAACATTGGGTTGTCGACGAAAAAATCTAGGTTTAGGCGATCTCGTGCTTTAGGTCTGGGATGTGTCAGAATGAGATCGGGATTGCGGGACGACGTTCTAGTGTTCCGAACGAATTTTTTTTCCCGATCTTAACTCGAAACTTACAAGAGTTCTTGGGAGGAGGGCTAACGTCACGAGTGTTTGGATTGCGACATGTCCACAGACCAGGCTGACAAAGCGCTATTCTCAGATAAATGGTGTTTTTCTTTCTTGGAATCTTGGTTTTCCAAAAGCCTGTAAGATAAACCAGCACACTCACCTGATTCCATTATATATTTATCTAGAATTACCGTTAAATCGTCCCATCTAGATCGATGCATGCAAAAGCAGAATTGACAGGCGATGGATATACGATGCTGAATTCTGGCAGAAATAAAAATATCCCTGACTAACTGGCTTAAGACCCACGGATAGCTATACTGTGTAGGGGAATATGGTTATGTACCTTGCCCTCACTGACAACGAAGTTAATAAGCACCGTCGAAGCTTGCAAGGACCTTGTCTTCGGGAGATTTTAGCCGATATCCGTAAGGATGTGTGGGGAGCATGGGGTAGCCTAACCATAAGAAAACGCTGGGCTGTAGTTTAAAATATTTGGTGTTACAGTACAATTAATTCTGCCTTGCGAATTAGCTATTGATACTCTAGATGAAAATCGCACCATAAGCTCCAAGATCCGAGTTTATGATCCATGCTTATATTATATGGCGGAGCTGTAGCCGAAAGCTCCTTGACGAGAAAGCGTGGCACTCTAGTATACTTCGGAACACGCAGATACTTGCCTCAAGTTTAGAATCTAGGCCCGTTGCCATGAAATCTATAAATTCAGTACGCCCACTCTTGAAAATAAATCTCATTATTGCTACCAACTGTCTTGTATTGTGGATAGCACTGGCCTATAAGCAAAAACCATAGGACTGGATTTCCTATACACCACCTTCAAATTCTTTTTTTTTGGCTTCTATTTGTCGTAAAATATCCATATTATCCTTTTCAGGATGAAGGTCTTTACGGCAATTCTGGCAATTAGTGCCAGCATTCCTTCGGTTCTTGCTCATTGTACGTTCGATATCGGGTTCTCCTCCTCGGGATCAGTAAACCAAGTCTACAATATGGCACTAGACCAAAATAACTAACATGATATATAACCTTTCGCGCGCCATCTAGATCGTTTCCCTTCTCTTATTGTCGGAGGAACTACCACGGGGCAATACCAATATGTCCGCCAAAACTCCAACATGGTACGATACATGTATACACGGTTAACCGGTTTTATGGAATTATAATGCCACGGGAAGCTAACACGAGATTTCTAAAATAGAACTCTCCAGTTGAGAATGTGCAATCAACTGATTTCACCTGCAATGCGGGTGCGAGACTCGGAAGTAACACTGGAACGTACGAAGTCGCTGCTGGTTCTACAGTTGGATTCGCACTTGACCAACAAGTTTTCCACCCTGGTAAGAGCAATATCCTAAATCAAGCCATCGGAATCTTAACTAAAGCTAACCCAACTTAAAGGTCCATATATTGTCTACCTCGGCCAGGCCCCATCTAGTATCACCAATTTGAACAGCTGGGATGGCTCTGGAGCCAACTGGTTCAAGATCCACCAAAGACAAATCACATTCGTAAGGATAAACTACAAGCAAACCATAAGATCGTACAATATATTAACCGGACACTAACTCGGTCTAATCCTACAGGGAAGCAATGGACCTAACTGGGAGATGCTTAACTCCCTCACCTTCAAGCTCCCGACTAGAATCCCAAGTGGCCTTGTAAGTCATTAATGACTCCCCTGAAATACGTACAATCCTGTTTACCAGTAGTACTAATTTGATTACTATACAGTACCTTCTCCGTATCGAGCATATCGCTCTCCATAGCGCCTCCAACTACCCTGGTGCTCAGTTCTACATCTCTTGCGCTCAACTCAAGATCACCGGTGGCTCTGGGGGCAGCCCGGCCAAGGTCTCCATCCCCGGTGTCTACTCCGGTCAGGAACCTGGCATCAAGTTGAACATTTATTACCCCATCCTGAACAGCTACAACTTCCCAGGACCAGCTGTCTACTCTTAAAGGGCTTTTTTCTTCTTTTTTCCAGCAAAATCAATATAGCCATTTAAATTTATGGCTCCGAACCGCTGCCTATTGGTTATCTCGTTTACCCCAAACTTGTATATAGTCAAAAACCAGGTATCTATAGAGATACCAATGAAGAATATCAATGAGAAGCCTTGTTTTGTGTTTACTATCTCTACTGGTGACGTTTTCTTTTAACTGGGTACCTAGAAAGCCTCATGATCCTTCCAACGTAGCCAGTAAGATATACTTATAAATATGATTGGGGGTTGTGTAACATACATCTGACGACGCATATATTTGACCAAGTGCAGATCCACTGCCTCAAAGCTTTTATTGGACAGGATTCAAGAGAGAACCCTAACTTAACGAGATGCAAGGATCCAGAAGTAGTACTCTATGGTTTTCCTAGCCTCTTATCTGAAAATGCTTTGTTTTTTTTGAATAATGTATATTCATCCTCAAGTTATCGCGCTTTTAATTTTGACATGTGAATATCAAATCTGTAGACACGGGACCCTAGGATAGAAAGATTAATTTCGTACCAGACACAAATATGTAGATTATTATGCCTTGGACAAGGCTATATCAAAGTACGTGACTCATAAATGTAAGTTTGGCCCCTAGGAAAGCTTAAAAAGCTATTTATTTTCACGGTACACTTTGCTTATAGGATGCTTAAATCCCTAATATAGTAGAAATAGCATATCTAGTCCCAAGGAACCTCGCACCTAGGACCACCGGGCTAGGAAGGGGGTTTGGGGGGGCAAATTCCTGGGATTTTTAAGATACCGCCAAAACTTTACATTACTCTTACGCGTCGACATCAGGCGAAATAGGATATATTCCAACATGCATATAGCTATGTCTCGGTTCCACGGAGGTTGTGATTCCGCATGGGCCCGAACCCAAGGATTATAAGCATATTCAGTGATCTCGAGACAAATATTTAAAATAAACGTTATTTCAAATAACCTGATACTTGCACAACCCAAAACCGGCCTCCGGGGCCCCTCGATATCAAGGATGGCGTTTCTTTTTTTGAAGGTGGCGAGAATAGTGATCTCGAATCTTCGAACACTCGGCCTTACATAACTTAGCCAGTCAACCCGAGTTGTAGAAAATCAAAATGTAGCACCGGACTCAGTAGCTGGAATAAGGGGCAGATTGGTGCTGTATATTGGTATTGTAGCCACAATGAAAACGAGATTGGAGTATCACATGATTCATCATGAGTAATATGTGCAGATAGGTGCGCTGCTGCCTGCGTTGTGTTGCGTTGGATTTTAGGAGCCTTCTTGGCCCGAGCCGATAGGTCCGGCGCTCGAAACCTCAGCCTTCGAATTCTTGATCACAAGGCTAGGTTTGATAACGTATATAGCGACTCAAATAGATCAATGAGCAATATCATACATGATTATCCGTTGCACGATGACGTCGTCTTATATACATTCTACCTGCGCCTTGCAATTTGCAAAGGCTAAAAATTGTCGCAAGAATAGTGGCGAAAGCTTTCCGACAGTATTTTACATCTGGGTTCGGGCTGTCAATAGAAAACCAACAGCGTCGCAGGATGAATACAACTGAACCCAATGAATGCGTAACATCGTTCGAGGGGACGCTGTCCCAAATTGAAATGCCTCGAAATCCGCCTTTACTTCGATACGTGTTAGTCATAGCCTGTGGACAGGAATTGTAAGTGTGAAACAAAGACTATCCTGTTAGGAATTTCGTCTGATCTTTCTCGCCAGCCAAAATTAAAGTATACCCTTGGCGCGTTCTGCATGATCAAGCATGGATGTCGAGGTAGACACAAGAACGCGTTACCTCCAAGGAGATGAAAATATTTATTAGTTGGTATCAACATTCGGGAAGGAGGGGTACAATATCGTCTCCATGTGACGTTTCCCCCAACATCCTCTGGAACTTCTTGATACGTTGGTGTCGGCAAAGGACCTCTGGGAAAGGCATGCGAAGGCATGCGAAGGCCTGCGAAGGGGTATCTGTTTCCCCCGCCTCATCTCATCTCATTATCCAGAGGAATGTCGTTGAGAGGGAAAAAGGACAGGTGCAAGGAAACCGAAAAGAAAAAAACTCAGCGTCGATCCGCGATGGAAGGAACCCAAGAAAGGAATGTCGTTTTGTGGTTTCTATGCAGTTCGCCCCTCCGGTGGTGGGCGTAGAGATATGCAACATCCCAAGGGACGCCCACGTTTTTGGCCTCGAGAACCGACCTTTTCTCTCATGTCCCTGCAGCGAGACATCCCTGACTCCTCTTTTTGGTTGGATTTTATCTCGCGTTTCAGCCCTTCCGGCCCACCAGTCCTGCTCCACTTTTCCTCTGGACGATCTTCTGGGAATGCCAGTGTGTTAGGATGTTGCAGGGCATCGCATCGACGCGGCGTCCGGGTATGCACCACTTCCCACAGGGTGTTATCAACAGTCACGAGTCTTTGCGTTAAAGTTTGACCGTCATTGATATAACCACCGACATGTAGCTCAATGCCTCACCACAACGTAGGGAAGTAGGCATGGCGGCTCCCGCAAACCGTGAAAGTCCGCGATCAGCGGAATTGCAACTATTTGACGAATTGAGCATCCAGGCCAGGGATATTTTTGAAGACAACAAAAATCCAGATACCGAACTTCCCAACAAACAAGTATCCACCACCCAAGAAAAAAATTTTCTCCCCAGGATTACCCCCTTATTTCCTGCGTCAATGAAAAAAAAAACATCAGATCCCGTCAAAATTTTGCAAAGCATGGCGATGTAGGTGGTGTGGAAGCGATAGAGAACAAGCAGCAAAGGCGACTTGTGGTTGCGATATCTATTACCCAATGGCCAATAAAAATCCCTCATACAACCAGGATGCCTTGACCATCGTCAGTTTTTTTTTCCTGAGTGTTTTCCAGAATTTATCGATAGGGAAGTTTTCCAGAAGACCGAGGATGATGTGGCGCAGTTACGGTTGCCTTTCCTCTATTGGGTTAACGCCTGAGGCAAAGCTCGTTTCCAGTCGTCTCCGGGCCCGCCTAGCTCCCAGTGCCCCAACCCGGGTTACCGGGTCTGAATTTAGTATAAAAATTCGACGACAGGTCAGCATTGAATCATTGAATCATCTCAGCTGTGAGGATCGGGAAATATTAAGCCGTAAAAGGACGTATGCGAAGCTCCGATGATATAATAGTTTTCCGAGGTAATCCTACAAGGTAAAATAGGGAAGCCCGAAACTTTAGTACTCCAATCATTTCATTAATTTCGGACTAGAAGATTTATTAAGTCAATTAACAGCTGAGCAGCAGAGCATGGCCCAGTGAGAGATCAGACGAAATCCTTTTACTTACTAGTTGGGAGGGAAAAACTGTGCTCAAGATTTTCTCAATATAAAAATAGCCAAATCTGGCCAATGATAGATGTATCGCTATCACCTGAGGCCATAGCAACAAGTATAAATATTGCCACATTAACTTGGAAGGTTCTGCAAAGAGCTAGCGAAGGAAAATTTCGTCAAAAAGGCCGGCCCACTTCTTCCTCCTTGGTTCGTCGACAATTCACACGTCTGAAGTGTTCGAAGGACTTTGCATATAGACGCTAAATTTCAAGCGAATCATATACCAAGAAAAAACAAAACCGCATCTGGTTCTTGTGTCTGTTTGGCTGTTTATGCATAAAGAATGTCATCCTGCATGAAATCCACTGGCAGAGCGAATCGTCAATTAGGTTGTCAGAAAACGGCTAGGATAGGGTAGTTCTAGGTGGTATTCCCACCGAGACAATTTCAACTTTTCGTTTTCAAAATTTCAGAATTTCGAACTCCTACATTTCATCGAAATATCCCGACAGATTTTCCAAATCCAAATGGTAAAATTGTGACAAATAGAACTCTGACTTAATAGTTGGAAATTCGGAGTAACGCACACCCTCGATTTGACAGGTCTTTGGTCCGGTTGAACGGTACCCATTCTGATCAGTCTCTTGAGCCACCGGTGTAAGTACCTACGCATTACAGGCCACTAAATCTGAGGAGACTTGTTATCGGATGCCAACGCAGACAACGGAACCAGTCGCAGATTTCGCCGGATCCTAGTCCACTTCCCAGGGCCCTATATCTAAGGTTCATTCCCACATATAAGATTAGCCCGATACCTGATATCACGCCAAATCATAAACGATCGTGATTCGGTACATTTGCGAATGTCGTACGGTGTACAAGGTATACCGGTTTTGAGGCTTCAATATTGTATATACGTAGCCAACGCATGCAGCTCCTAGCTAGTACTGACGAGCTGAAAGATTAGGAAGTGAGCTCTCAGGTAGTACAGAGGAAACACGAGCAGTTTCTTGAAAAGGACCAGCTTCCTTGTAATCCTGAAGCTCTACACACACAGGACTAAGGTATGAGCGAACGCGTATAGCTTCCCACTTGGAATCTTCATGTCAAACATTTTGTATAGAAATGGAACGCGATGTACAATTCCGCCGCTTTGGTAGGAGAGTGAAAGGGAAAAAAAAAATTTTCTTGCCAAAACCGAAAACTGAGCGATTTGGTTATGGCGGGAAGTGGGGCACCAATTTTTCATCCTGAGGGGTCTCTTGCATAAACCTCATGCCAATATGGGCCAATGGAGGCGAACAGTGCATAGATTGTGGAATGTCGAAAACTAAACCACAATATTTTGCAGTTATCGTGTTGCGTCAATCGAGGAGGTTCACGATATGCTCGGATATATTTTATTTTCAGTATCGTCAAGCTTAGCACTTGTAGAGCCTTATTCAAAAGCTTCAAAGAGGCTTTGCAGTAGATACCAGCTAGTGCACCAGACTAGAACCTCGCGCGGGAATCAAGGTATTCACGTTGTAATCTTAGGTTTCGCTTAGTTGGAAGAATGAACGGTTAGGTCAGCGTATCCACCAGTATCAGCTAAAATAAATTGATTCATTTCACACCCAAGTTGTGTTATTCCTTAATCCATCGGTCGAATCTTTTGAGTCTGGTACACTATTGGCTAGTAATGCATTGTTGTCGGAGAGTTCCGGTACTCCACGACAGAAATCCGAGACGGTCGAAAAGTCTATCGTCCTTACAAAAACACTTACATATTTTGGATTCCTCATTTCGACATTTTCCTAGGATCCTATTATCAAAGGCAATGCTATTGGGCCCTTAGGGGGAGTTGGTGCTTGGAGAAAACTTTGGGTTAAAGCTGGGCGGTTGCACGTTACTGGAAGGACTTCACAGGGTGCCCGCAGCGAGATCAAGCTAATCTGATATGGCGTAAAAGCTCGATGACTATGAATATTACATCAAAGCCAAGACATCTCGATGGAATGGAACAGCCTTATGGTTTCGCGTTTATGGATACAGACTTATATATAGTATTATCAGATACTTAATTATCAGACTTTTTGACCTTAGTCTGATGCTGAAGTCAGTGTTTTGGAAGGACACAGTCCGAGATTTCGGTCCGCTCCGGCGCCGTATACCATCCAGCAAAAAATTGGCGAAGCTCTAGAGGTAAAATACGAGAATGTTTCTGGAATGAGCATGGTGCTTTTGCCGTCGCCTAAATCATGCCCAGCGTGGAAACATTCTAGGATTTGTATGTGACTTTATAGGGAAAAAAAAACAAAGGAAGAGCCACGTCTCCTACTTGAAGGTGTGAGTGATATTGTCTATCATATGCGGACCCTGCTTTAATCATGATCGGTGAAATGAATGCGAAAATTTTAATTTTTTTTTTTTTTTTNACTGAATGGTTGAGAGAAGGTGGTATGGGCATTCATTTGGGGACCCCTAAGGATGAATAATATATCAATAAATTTCGATAACGTATAGCCGCGAGTGTCATGTATTCACGAGACCACCTCTTTTTTTTTTTTGAAACGAAATGAAGAATGGTCATGGAAATATTCGTTAGAATTTTTTTGGGAAAATATTTTGCTGCAAAGCATTGTTATGTTTTTTAATGGCTGGGCGGGAACGGATAAATTACCGGCGGACCCGACTTATCGGGGGAGCTACCCGAAGAGTACGCCCGAACCGATTAGTACCGGGAACTATCTTACTTTTCTGCCCAGTTCCAAAAATACCTTCGCCCATAACTTCTTTCCTCTGTGACCGCCAAGCATAGTTGCACTGCCCTATCCTGTGAAAATGGACACAAACCTCACCTTGTGTCCATGTATATCAGTGATTGTATGCAGTAGCAATTCACACCGCACACACGATCCATATCTCGCAGAACTTGCGTGACAGGCCAAACGCAAACCTTGTTGACTATGACTTCGAGTAGACTTTAGCTGGCGTGATCAAGCTTGCCTGAGGTACAATCCCTCGAAGGTTCACCGAAAGGTCGCGGAACTGCCCAATCGTCCCGATAACCCTATCAGAAGGAGAGATCGATCTTGGGTTAGGTGCACTGCGGATGCCACCCTTTATGGGCTGGGGGATGCAATGAAAGAAGAGAAGCAATATGGCAACTAGGTGTAGTTGACCTAGCCCGCTAGGAATGCCGACGTTTATGCCATGGACGATGTGCAGATGGGATTCGTCGTGATCACTCGACTGGAATTTATGCATACGTAAGAGGGTGAGGGTAGCAAGAAACATGCAAGCCAAAGCCGGGACATATTATACGGTTTCGAGATGGGTGTTTTGATAGTAGCGTCTTCGATTAAATTTAATTGATTGATTGATGAGCTGAGGTAGACGAGACGATAGCTCAGCCACAGCTCTGGATTGGGGCACCCCGGGGCAGTCCGGGGCAACGTTTCCACTTGTCTCAACATGGTCTCAAATCATCATCCCCCGTCCACATGCAACCCTGCCATTGTGATATTGAAATTCTGGCCATTCGGCCTCAACAAGACGGGAAGAGAGACCTGGCCAGATTGATATCGGCAACGCGGCGGAAACATATGTAAGTACATTCATACATACTTCTTCTTTGCTTGCATGTTCCCGTTAGCTTGAAAGACTTTGAAGGCAAGGGATCGGGACGGCTCATTCATAGCCCCCCAGGAGTCGACTCGGAAAACTTTTGTCCATGTAACTTCATACAGACTGAACATAGAGCACTCGCGCCTCCTCGATAACAGCCGTCCAAAAGGCACCGTGTATGGATATACATACACAGGACACACACCCATCCTGCGGTGTTCGATATTTAGAGAAAACGATTTCGAATGCTCCATAGGCAATTTGCCCAAACTCCAACAGGGGCTTTTTCCCTCCCACCCACCGTTTGTCTCCAATCTCACAAGGCATCAACAGTAAAAATGTGTGTGTGTACGACTCATCTTCCTGCGAATCGCTAGCTCCAAATGTTGCTTTTTCACCGGGCACGGCCCTGAAAAGTTATTCCAATATCCCGGAGGGAAGGACGAGTTTCTTCTTTTTTTTCCTTTTTCCTTCTCACCTTAGCGGCCTACCAAGAATAAGGAAGAAGCAAAGGACGAAATTTTGTAATTTTTTTCCCACACCACCAAATGGGAATAATCTTTGGCCCAGGCATGTGTGGACTGGTTGCAGGACTATATATCCGTTTGGGCCAGTGGTCCTCCCCAATCCCAAAATTTTCCTCTCTTCCAGTACTTTTTGTGCCTCAGAAAAAAAACTCTGGCATAACCGCTCGACGCTGTTGGCTACCGTCTACGAGCACAATTCCGACCTGGCACTGCCATAACTCACGATAACTCCGAATACTAATACACATCGGACTCATACTTAGTAATATCTTGCCACGACCTTCTCACGGTAGCCAGAACTTTCTCGGATAGGTTTGCGAGGATTGAATCCCGAGAATTTATAACAGATATCATAGACATATATATATATATATATATATCTGACGGCAGCGTTGAGCATCCCACATACCCCTCCCCACCGGGTCTTCCCCTTAAAAGTGAATCTATATGATCAAAGGGTTAAGATAACATCCTCCACCATTCCGTCAATTGACAAGGTCTCGCGCACGCAACGGCGTCAGCGCAGACGGGTTCTGCCCTCAAGGAAAACATTTTATAGGTTGTGATACGGTAGAAATCAGTCAAAATTCAGGCCTTCTCCCAAATCCCTGGTCGTAGACCATCTACCGTCCGGCCTAAGACAACTTCTCCGGAATCACAATTTCCTCTGAGGCCTCCGCCTGCCTCGAAGACCCCTCATCCCAAGTCGGCTTCCGCGACTCCACATCCCCAAGCCCCTCCATCTACTCCAGCCATGTTTGGCAGTTCTACATACGGTATGCCGTCTCACGGCTATCCTTATAATTATACTACAACTCCTCTAAACTCACCACCTTTAGGTGCTGGAGCTGGCATGCACGGTTTCTGGGGCCCTGACTACTCTCACACTCCCGCGCCTACCCCTCAACCTCAGTCCCCTTATGCAAGTAGCGGAAGGTCAAGATCTAGCCAGCACAGACGTCGAAGTGATCAGTTGCCTGGACGAGAAGGCGTCCCCTCCTTCCCAGCCACCCCCCAGCCAAGCAGAGGGTCTGCTACGCCTGCTGGAAGTTTCTCGCCATACAATTATAGCACGCCATCTCCACGTCCATCCTCCTTTGGGCCGGCAGCTCCATCTCCTGGAGGAGACTACTATTACACGATGAGCCCGCAAGGTCCTATTCCAACAGCTCCTACAGGTTACGCTTCACCACTTCCATCGGATTACGAATATGTCAGTTCCCGCCCTCGTGCATCTCCTCGAGTTCGTTCTTCTCCTTTTAAAAGCCAGGCACAGAGCCTGCAGCGATCTTCTTCTCGTATCGATTCTGCCTATGGTGGTGATGATGAAGATGATATATCATCTTCATCTTCTCCATATCTCTATCCTAATATTTCTTTTGTCGATGAAAACCAAAAACCTTCTCGTTCTTCCCCTTCTAATATCAAACATGTATCTTCTAAACCTTCTCCACGGCCAGCGTTTGAGCCTGACTCTCCCAACGTAGAGTTTAAGCTCAACGTGGAGCAACATTTTACTGACGAAGCGTATTACGACTATGAAGAGCTGGATACTAATCATGATCGCTTGTATGCTTCGTACCAACAGACCGTTCCATCATCCCCTTCCATGCACCCCCCTCCACGTGAACGCACGAGGTCTCGTAACTCCAAGACTCGTACTCCTGGGCCTGGAAGTGACCATCCGCACTCCCCTCCACCAAGTGCCGAAGATATCCGAAATCATACGCCCCCATCCAGAGACGCTGCTGCCGCCCACGGAATCCCTCAAGGATACTCAACAAAGAACTGGGATCAACAAGAACGACCAATAATGCTTCTCGGATCCGTCTTCGACGCTAATTCTTTGGGCAAGTGGATTTACGACTGGACTGTCTTTCGACATGGAACAAACTCACAGGTCACTGAGCAAGCCGGCGAGCTTTGGTTGCTTCTCATTCAGTTGAGCGGCAAGAGCAAGCGCGCTAGGGAAGTCGTTGAAAACAATCGCATCAAGAGAAGAGAGAACCTCGTCCTTGTCAATGAATTTCTTGAGTCCGGCGACCGGCTGTGGGACCGCATGAAGCGCCTTCTCAAGCATTGCGAGGAGTATATGTGGAGAGCTGCCCAACCTGTTCAGGGAAGCGAGGCTAGCGCAATCCGAAAGGGCTCTCCTGGAGTAACCATGGGGAAGCAATCCGGAAAGGAGTTCGTTGATGCCATGTTTGGCAAGGAGCGAGAGCTCGAGCGCACGGAGAAGCTCATGACGGGTATGAAGTTGTGGAGTACCCGTTTCGACGCAAATTGCGAAGAAATTCTCCGAAGGCCACATGCCTAAAAGAGACCCCTTGCGGTCCTGAACGAGGTTTCATCTACAACCCCCCACGTTCAATTCACATCTCATTACATTTGCCTCAGAGAATAGGGTTTGGTGGTCTTTCTTACTATTTATGCATGATTGGCTGCTTTTGAATCTTGTTCTTTAGCGACGGCGTTCTTTTACTTTTTTTTACTCTTTATTATTCTCCCTTTATTTCGTTTCTCCATCATACCATTATAGATTTGTTCCTTCATCCTTCGTCATTTTGCGTCCTTTCTATTTGACATTTACAAAAGATGTGATATCCATTTGCTTGTCAGCTCAGTTCGCATTGATTTTTTCTGCAGGTTCTGTTCTGCTTTTTGTTCTTCTTTTCACTTCAGGATACCGATTGGCTTATGGCTGTACCCTTGTAATGTCTGATTTTGTTCATCTTTATGTTTTCATGCTCTGTCTTATCTGTTCTTTCTTCTTTCGAATCGAGGCTGGCACTTCCTGTCGTGCAAATCTTTTATACCTTTAATGCCGGATGATTTCCCATCTCGTTTTCCCTTCTGACCGTCGCATTGGAGCATCTTATCGCATTTCGCACTGGCCGTCTCGTATTTGTTTAAAAATCTCTTCACCGTACTTGCTTTCGAACCCAAAAGTTCGTTATACATACATGTTGCCATCTTCGCTCATCGGTCCCACATAGCCAGCAAACTCCTCTTTAATGCTTGATGTTTTGTCCTTTTCTCGCATTTGCTCTATAGTGATGTTCTCATCGCTTGGCTACTAAACATGCATCGGGATTCACAACTTTCTGGCCTCCAGCGTATTTCTGCACTGCATTGCGTTCTGTTTGGCTCTCCAAAGGGTGCCTCTTTTTTTCGACCGCTAGTTTTGTTTCCTTAGTTCCGCATCTCCCCTCTGTTCCTTTTGTTGCCGTTTAGATCTCTTTCTTATACTGTTTTTACAACTAGCCTGTGGCGACACTTGACTGGGAGAAGTTTGCAAGAAAAGGGGATTTCGGGGACAAAAGGGCCGAATCCATCATCGGGATGATGCAGGCAGGATAAAAGTTAACGGGTCATTACTGCCTTTAATACCTTGTTTCTTCTCAAAAGTTTTTTTCTTTTACAATTAAGAGTAGTAACGTTTAATATACCCACTTTGTTTTTTTTCTTCCTTTCAGATTCTTTCCTTCTTCTGTTTGCAGCCCCATGTCCTTCGTTGCCTTTTTTTTTTCGAATTCACGGTGACCTGTTGGATGGTAGCCTTGCCGGCATGGTTATCTTCACTCTAGCATTTCTGAAATCTCTACTTTGTTTAATCATCTCGAAACAAATAAAATACCAAAAAAATTCGCTTTATCCTTTCTTTTAAATCAGTAAATCTGCCCCGACTTGGTGACTCAGTTTAAAAGCGGCACTTAGAATAGAAGAAATCCGATGCACCATATGAATATTGTATCGATGTCAATGTATCCAACACGGTCCATCAACAGTCCAAATCCAGTATTATTGTGAGTAACCCTATTTGCGAGTGGCTTGTTTTACTTTCCTTTCTCGTTGAATCGCCTTCGTTGGGCAAATAGCTATACTTGTTGTATTTTTACAGGCTTCATTTGGAAAATGTTGTGGATTAGGCTTGTCCTGTTCCACGGATCACCACATGCATTTTAGATTCCCATATGCCCTCCGGAACATTCCCGCTAGCATTCTTCGACAAAAGAGTAGAAGAGGACGAGGAGCGTCCCCCAGACAAGAGGACGAGGACGAGGACGAGGAAATAATCGTTACACAGAACGCGCCTGAGCCGGCTGCCTCGACGCCTCGTTTTGAGTTTCTCTCATTCCTTCTTTTTTTCTTCTTCTCCTCGTCTCATCTCACAAAGTGAACATATGCACATGTATGTTTGTGCTTGGGCGATGGGTGAGCATGCATTATATTATACTCTAAGGCCCCGTTATGTTATATCTTCCCAAAACCAAACGAAAAAAGGAAGCCCCACCTTGCCGTCCATCCATCACTCGATAAAAGGTGGGCTGTGGCAAACATCGACGAGACGGCACGCTGCCTGACTGTCAGAGCAAACATAAGGTTTCTGGAAAATTTCTGAGGCTGGTTTGGCAAAAATAGGTAATCGTACCCCTGGCGCCAGGAAAACCGATATGCCTCGCATACCTCAAATATTCCGTGGTGATCGATAGCCATGGGTCAGAATGATCATGAAACCGATACCCGTTATTGAAGAAGTGATCATGAGGCCTGCCACATGGTTTTCCGTTATGCCGCTGTAGCTGCAGGGGGCACAAACATTTTTTTGTTAAAAAATAATAATAAAATTTTGAAATAGAAACAAGTTGTGCGAACAATAATCATTGTAAGGCGCTTAGAATAGTCCGTGCCACGATTATAGATACCTAGTTTCGGCTTATCTTTTCGTAGACATCTACAGAGGCTCTCGGCTCGGAGGCTAGGAAAGCCCCCGGACGAAAATATGAGAATTCTTCGCCATTTTTGGAATAGGCTGTACTCCAGTGGCTTGATTTTGCAATATTTCCCATCGTTTGCTTCTGATGATCACTGGGAGGACAGATCGATTTGCGAAAGATGGTGTGCACGAAAAAGCAGTTCGAAACAGCCAAAACGGTTTTCATGACCTAACTTGAGGTTAGCCAGGAACGAGAATCAATAGTCGGAGGCAAAAGGTTGGAGCCGCCAACAGGGATAAAGGGGACTATTGTAAAGTGAGCTATTTTGGATGATTTCGATGTGAGGGTGTCCACGATAATTCGAAAAAATAGAAAAACGAAAATTTATTCCCAAACTGTCCCGTCGACAACACGATCGAAAGTTTGTGTCACGGTACATGGTACTCGGGGGACCCGGGCAGATGTTCAAAGTGCACCCGGTGCGCCGGGAGCAAAGAACGATGAAGCTGTCCCCTCTCCTTCTCTTTCTTGCGCCTCAGATACATAAAAAGAAACATACTGCCAATTTTTAATATATCAGATTTGTTGAAATTAATTTAAGCATCTTCCACTTCAAAATATATACTAGCAGTATGGAAGTGCTATCAGGGAGGTATTCGTCACTATTTGTCACATATGGTTGGTGTGTTGAATATGTTGGATTCTTTCGCGGGGGCTTGCAGCTAGCTATAGATATAGATACAAGTATGTACAAGTGATCTTGCATATTTGATTTCGAGTCTATAAATTTCCAAATTCTGTAATTCAGTGGGCAACGGTGCTAGAGCTGAGCTTATATCGTGATGGTAAGTGAATATTGCACAGGACTAGAGTGTGGCAATCCAAACGATGTATGTAAATACATATCCTAACCAGCCTGTCAGCGATATATAAGACCATGTTTATGTCACTGTACAGTCCGGTCGACTGCTATGCATACCGGCATTCCAAGAATACAATGACTTGGAGGAAGTATTAATATTGCTATAGCACTATCTGAATGAAATTAGGTCACAATGCACTGTCACCCCGGCTAGGGACCGGTGTACGAGGTACTATATATAGAGGTATTCGCGGAGGCCTGTGGTTATTAAACGTAAAAAAACAGCATATACTTGATTGATTCAGATAAAGAGCTTCCAGGACAAAAATGGTGGTTAAGTTGAACTAATATTTCCTTATCAATAAGAAGCATCAAACCCTTAAAGGTATCAATTTATGAACGTTCGAATCCGCAGACTCTCATATTTAATTTTATTTGTATACGAATGCAGGCTTGTCGCCGCCTGAATGGTCATATTCGAGCCGTAAATCATGTCATGAGTTACTATCCAACTAACATCTCACGCGATGATCATTTCTCATCGATATAACTATTTAAATCTTCTTTTCTTTCCAATATCCCTTCATAGCGCCGGGTCTCACATGGATCTGGTCCCGCGAAGAACGACTCTAGGCATAGAATTATTGGACAAAACAATATTTCAAGATATACCACGCTGCATAACTACCCAACTCCCGTAAAGCCATTGGGTTCACCAAGTTCTTGTAGATTATAGGGCTTATTACGTTAAGCCACTTTAATTTGTAGAGTTGAGGCACGAGGGCTTAGTTTAAACCTTTTAACTTGAATTCGAATACTCTTGGTCCGTTATGAGATACAAGGTCTCTTGACATAAATTATACGTATACCGTGTTCCAGTCGTCCAGTCGCCGCCTCCACGGTGGTATACATTTTGGATTTACGGACACTCCATTGATAGTAATAAGATATATATGGCGAACGGTACACACAGACATATATATATATGTATCTAGTAACCGGCCAGAGGATCCACCAAACCTTTTTCCTAAGCAGGGGTGTGACATCCTAGAGATAAGTACTCGTGATTTGAGGGTCCAGCGATCGCGAATGCAGGCGATAATTCGAATACCCCCGCACTTGATAGCCAGCTAAGGCAGGACACCTAGCTGTAATGATATGACAGATTCTAGCTTTAATAGTATATATGTTTAAGACTACCATGGGGCTTCGGGTTCTGCGTCTAAAGATTGTTGGCCTAAGTGCTAGACGGTTCGTAAATGGTTGTCCCTGGTCAAAAGTTGGGCATCGTGAACCGGTTTTAAATTTTAGTAGTATTGATTTGTATCCCTAATTAATGCAGTTCCAGTAGTTATCCTAATTCATTTATAGCCATTGGATCCTGATAGATCTATGACACGGATGTAGAGTACTTGTATATTTCCCGGAGCTGGAGATACTAATAACCCATCGATATCAATAGCATATCAAAATAAACATCAACTTTCGATTACAGGATCTATATGTTTCCTGTATATCTCACGCATATGCATCCCATCGTCCCAATGATCGATTGACAACGAATTCACGTTCATACATGTTAATACATGGGACATTAGAATTCTCCTGCTAAAAAACCATACAAGAAATATTTATATGGTCCTATATCAGGGCGATAAATTTAAGTTGCGTAGAAAATACAGTATTAAACGCAAGAGACCTTCAAACAGCTAATGCACTAGAAGCATGCATGCACTCTGCGGTATCCTAAGAATAGGTGAAATTCACTTTAAAGGTCCCCTTGCAATTGGTCTCCAAGGCCTAGCATAAAGGCTTTGATTGGTCTCGTATCCTGAACCTCGAGACTCTCAGCTAACCTTGGATCCGATCAATCGATCGGACCACTTGGCTGGATCCATGATACTAAAAAGTAAGCTTGATTGGAGCAAAACTACCCCAGTACAGTATATACCATTAATTAATGGCTCTGAACGTTGGATGCTGCCCTAGTACCCCAGATTTTTTCTGTCATGGGCTGAAAACAGGGGGTTGGGACTAGCTATTACAATATTCTTTTAGACTGATTCACTAAGTAGTAACTAACCTAATCCTGCGTAGTTATGAATCAATTGACGACTGTTTTGTAGTCCTTGAGAGCGACTTAGCTTAGTTTCAATTTGTTGGTACAATATTATTAAAATGTAAGATCCTAATGCGATATTCCGCCTCCACCCTTCTTCGGGTATTAAGTGCGTGTGGCTGGTAAGGTCAACTATCCATAATCATAAAAATTATCCAAAAAAGAATCAGTAGAATTCATTAAAGATAAAGATCACCGTGCCACTAACGGTTACCGTGTGAACACGTTGGAAACACGGTTTCCTATGTGTCATTTCATCAGCCATAAAGCACAAAGTAGGAAAGTGGATCCGGTACCCGGTTCCACGTCAACAAAAATGACCGAGGAACACGAAAAAACCAGGTCATGTCAATCACATTTTCTCGATCCTCGCAGCTATTCGGACTACGTGCTTGAATTCGTTGGATTGGGAATCGATTCAGGCCCGTCGATCGGCACCCCCATGAAGAGCGCTCGAGCTCTTCATGGGGTTTCCGCATCATGGTTTCACCGATATCGCGCGATTAGATCCCAGATAATTACCCCTGTTAAGCTGGGAAATAGAACTTCGTTGGCTTCCATGCATATTCTACATATGTCATGTGAGCCTACATCAACGTGTACTGATTGTGATTTATGCAATTAGAAACGACATTGAGCTCAGGGTAATTTGATTTGATGCCACCGTCTCATGCATGTGATATACCAGCCACAACAATATAGACAATGCGCATGCACTGGAAGCATTCTCACATTCAGCTGGATTGGTATCCTCAGTATTACAATGATTCTGCATAGGGCAGGGAATTCAGAGAAGGACCTCATGTGCACGGTTCCTTAGATCGATGCCATATTGAAGCATACCCCGGTACCGGTACCCTTTAAAACGATATTTTATTCATGTAATGCCCGGTTACATGTAAGTTACCTAGGCCCTCGGGCATTATTGGAGGACTTGGTTGTAGTTTCTGTTTGAATTCGGGGCATTTCGTTTTTGAGTCCATAGATCTAGGGTGCTAAGATAATCTTTACAGTGTATGAAACGGTACAATTTTGAAGATATATCTCCTCATTGATAATATATACTCTACGCTGCCTTTGGAGCAGGTGGGCTAAAGTACATATTATTATAGTCTCTAGTCTCAGATCCCCGGTATGTACATGAGGGTTCGAGCTTAAGGTATGTATCTAGAAGCGTATAGATGTCAATTGAATACAAGCGCCGAGGTTACACACACCCAAAAATACAACGCCATCAACGCCGTAACAACACAAGCCTCCTCAGCGTGGTACATTACCTATCAACGTCCAACCCCCTCAAGCCCAAATATACATCCGTGCCCCACCCAAACAAGCTCTCCACCTTGAGATCACCCCCAAAGAACTGCGCGTAGCTCCTACTCAACCCCATTCCGAAGCCCAGTCCAGCAATTGTACTTGACTCCACCTCGTTCATCGCGGTGCTAATGACATCTAACCCACCTGCATCGTTGGCCCCATACCCACCATTCCCTCCGACTGTGGTCGAATTATTGAAAGTAGTAAAGCTGTACTTGAATATCAGTGGTAGATGTTCCGGTGCAATCCCGCCGCCACGGTCTCTAATCCGAATAGTCACAGCCCTAGCGGCTTCAGCCCTGATGGTATCTGCGCCACTGCTATCACCTGTTCCCGAGCTCCCATATATTCCCAAGATATCGCTTTTCAATCCATCGCCCTGTACTTCCGTACCAGGTCGTACACCACTAAACCAATCATCTTGTTGCATTCCTGATGACTCCCCATTTTCTAGCATCTTTGTCGGGGATGAGCTGCCTTCGTCATCGCTATCGCTATCGCTTCCGTCGTCATATCTCTCCATCCCCGCACTCGCAATAGTGACTATAATTGGTTTATCCACATTTCCTTTCTCAATCGTTGCTCTGAATGCATTCTTTAGAAGCTCGGTAAGAATGTATTCTAGATGACTCGGCACATATGCAACCTTCGCATCAGTCATGCCATCGACTATAACGGTGGGACGAACACCATATTTCATGTCACAAATGTCTCCTACAAAGTCTGCGCAATACTTGACAATCGATGTTGGGTTGAGGTGTGTGTCTATCGTGCCGATGTAAGTTGATAACGAGGCTTTAGGGTCAGTGGCCTGGACACCGGGCAATGTATGGCCATCGGATGTCAAGGAGGCATCATGGAGAGCCAAATGTTGCTCTGCTAGCAGGCGAGTACCAATCCGAGCACGCAAGTGCTCCTCAAGGAAGTCCGTGGTGACATCCGGTGCAACATAGCGTTTGCATTCTGAAAAGCCTCTTGCTAGACTAGGTATCGTATTACTATGTGTGTCTACAATCTCTGAAAGCACGTCATTGAAACGGGCTTCTTCTTTTAGACTGCTCGGAAAGTTTTCTTTCGGGAAGGAGAGGAGCAGACGCAGGGAGTGGAGGTAATTATTGTAGATCTGCGATATGTGGGGGTTTGAGACGACGATATAGGGGAGGTTACGGAGAGATAGTATACGTCTGGCGATACGGATTGGGAGGACCCGGAGGGTGAACGAAGCAGAAGCCAGTAAGAGGTCCGGCGAGAGTGGGGGTTTGCCGAAACGTACGAGATCTGAGAGTGTGAGCGGGTGAAGGGGTAAGGTGGCGAGCTGTGCGACTTCACGATCGAAGGACGGGGTCCGGGATTGCGGCGGGCCCGAGGACCTAGGCGACGGAGACGACGAAGACGAAGACGAAGACGAAGATACCGATTGCGAGGATTGGGTGGAATAGGAAGAAGACGATGACGAAGTAGCAGTCGCACGGGGCGATGTGACGTTGCGATTATGCTGACTGCGATTTGAGCTGCGGGATTGGCTGCGACTCTGACAGATACTCCGGGGAGGCCCTGGACTCCTAAGGGCAAGAGAAAGTGAGGAGAAACCACGGGAAACGGCGAAGACTGAGGCGGAGCCACTGTTGAAGTCTAACCGACGATAAAGATTCGTATTCCTATTCCTAGGACAAGGAAAGCAACGACTGCAGATGTATCTAGACGAAGCCATTGCCATCGCTAGGATTTGTCAGGCTGACAATGGCCCGGGGAGAAGTTATTCATGGAAGGCTAAGGCCAAGCTCGGAGAGATCGAAAGATGACGAAGCAGTGACAGGACAAGGACAAGGACAATGTGTTGTGTTGTCCCGACGTTGAAGGGTGACTGGGGTGACTATCACAACACGCCAACACGCCAACACATCCTGCAAGTACTGATAACCTCAGCCATGGCCTGGCCAGATCCTTCTCCTGAGCTTCAAGATATCAACATCAACAGCCACCAGGTAGTCCCCGAGATGCACAAAGTACCCCCAAAGTACCGTCCCCGAGTGGATAGAAAGAAAGCTTCAAAGTATCCTGTGCGCGGTACAGAGTCGTCTGCCAGCCAGGCGACACCTGTCAGGCACGTCACATCACAAAGGTTTCCACCGGATTCACTACACAGAACGGGGCACTTGATGGGAATGAATCGAATGACTCGCTGAGCCGCGAACGCAAATGCATACATCCACATACATACACATACATAAGTACGCATGTAAGTAAGTATGCAAACAGCGAAGCAAGGAGCTTCAAATCCAATATCAGGATCCCGAACAATGAAATGCAATTTGTTGCGTCGGTTAGCTGGATTAAAATGAGTCTTCAATTGTGCCTTACACCGGTAAGGCCTGGACCGACCAATTGGTACCAATCGATCTAGCTTGAGCCTCTCTGCTCGCTTTCACAGCCTCGTTTTTGTCAATTGCCCCGTTGTACCCATTGGATACAAGTCCACGAAGTGTTCTATTTCAGCTGCCCTTTGACTCAGCAAAATAGCACCACATGCCGCCGCAAAGCAAGCTACCTAGCTATCATCATTGTGTGTACTGTGTAGTCAATCGCAGGCGCTGTGCAACGGTTATCCTGCCAAAGACTGTCGCTTACGATACTCACTACGTAGTGTCTATCCAGGTTTAGGTCTACGATCTAGGTTCAAGGCTTAGGGAAGCTAGGAAGCTGACTAACTGGCTCCTCCTTGTTAAACCGGCGAGCTCTCTCTCACATGTCAATGTTTTTTCCTTTTTACCTCGATTTCTCCTTCTTCCTCCCGACATCTGGGAGGAGCTACGAAAATGATGAGAGTTCGTCCACTTATCAAGGATCCGGAAAGAGAGATACCAAAAGCTATCACTATCACAGAGCCCTTCACTCATTTCTTATGCATAATACCCTCTTACAGGGTAACCACGAGTCTGTGCCATTAGCTGTGGGGGCTAAGACAGCGGGGAAAGCAGACGAGTTCCGACCAGCTCACCAAAAGCGCCAACACCACACCGACAACACACTCCTGGTTACCCCTCTTTCCCTCTTCCTCCTCTCCTGTCCTCAGGCAGGTCCGGGTTGGCCGCCTGGTCTCAGTTCCCCTTCACTCTTCAATATTCCTCCTTCTGGCCCTCGCTTACACCCGCTCTATCTTTCAAAGATATGTGTCACAGAGTGCCCATTGCATTTCTTCAAGGCCAGGAGACCTAAAAATCCGAATCCTTACCTGACCTGCCTAGCCACTCACGTCTATCATATGATCAGTAATACTCACATTCTCTAACGTTAAACCCATCTAAACCCTCCTTCCCTCCTGTGCATTCCGAATGAAACCCGAAGTGAGGGGGGCGAGAGACATAGGGCAAAGATGAAAGACAAGAAAAACAGAAGACAAAACGTATGTAAGAGAGTGGAAGGGAGGAATTCGTTACATCCGTCGCGCATATCGTTATCAAAAACCCGCCTCTCTCCGTCCCTGCATATCGTTGATAAAAAAAATAAAAAAAAAGATATACTTATACATAGTACATATACATAACATGTATCAAGGCGATGCTGATGATGGTAGGAGATGAACCGTGCACCTGCTTGATGCAGTTTGATTACTTCTTGTTTTGAAGTACCATACTGACGTAGGTATCTTACACTCTTTCCCCCGAACAATACTGGGCATTCAAAACTCCCCCTTGCCCTAGGAAAACCGGTAGTTATTATCATTGTTACCTTACCTCGTTCCGGTAAATAAATTAAGATATGCACAAGTATGTCCGCAATTGCGAAGATGGGTGGCTCCGACTTGTGCTTTGTATAATTCAGTAATATATTGCAGTCATCTTACGAACTTTAAAACGAACCCAGCCCAGTTTATGAACATCATGTACATACACACATATTCCCCAAGATCTAATTGCGAAATATTGGATGAGATGGATTATTAGGGCTTGATTAGGCGCAGAGGAAACGAAAAAACAAATCAAAAAAGAATTAAAAGATTATGGTGGTCATCTAAATATAATAATCACGAAAGAAAAACCCATGCACATAATCCCGTGCGGTAACACAGAGCATAAAACTGCATCCAAAAACACACCTGTTTTATATCTTTCCCGGTTCCCCATCTTATAATCTTATATAAAAGAAAAAAATGTCTAATAATGAATCCTAATCCTAGTTATGTCGGAGGCAACAGCCAGTCGGGAAAAGTTGACGAAGAGGGGGGGTAGTTCTCATGTGAAAAAGGAAAATAATAAGCCATTCAAAGTAAACAGATAATTTATCCGATTGCTTGAGGCACTCGCGGCGCAGAAATAAAGAGAAGAGAGAGAATACGAGGCCGATGAAGAGAAAGGGAGGGAAGGGAAGGGAAGGGAGGGGCGGACCGGATAAACCCATGCCATGCGCTGTCAACCATTCAGAGGAGTGTTTGCGGCGAAACTTCGAGAGGGGTCATGAGTAGCGAAGTCACCCTCAAAGTACGAATGGTAAATCGCCAAAAGGTGGTGTATAGAAGCCTTCATTTATAATCGAATACGAATTCGAGAGAAGGAAAGGGAAAAAAAAAGAGAGGACATACATTCGTGCCACAAATAAAATTCTGAAATCCGTATTTTCCAATTCATCCAGATCGAATCATACTTGTATCATGATAAATGTGAAGCTCGCCAAGTGGGCATTGTTCATGTACATATGTGGGACAGCAAACAATAGAGAAGCGCCCCGCTTCTGGGATCATCATCGTCACCACCGCACCGCTTCTACGACCATCTCCCGCCGCATACTGACAGCTTGAAGCAAAAACAGGTTGACTAACACCTAAGGAAGCTTCTGTGCCAGGCTAAGCAGTTTTCAGCTCAACTCTCCAATTCACTTGCATAGAAGCCAACGGGGGGCGCTCCCTTCCATCATCCTCCCGATTTACCCGCATAGAAACCCAGCTCACAGATCTGAACCCTCCCCCCTCCAAATACGTACATACATACATACATACATCACTTTGGTAACCAGTAGGCTACGTAGCCTCCTAGCAGTGGAGCAATGCAGAGCGCCCTAAAGCGTCCATATCTTTGAAAACCAATTGGCCAGCTCTCACCCATTGGTTGAATGGAGCATACGACCACGAATCTGACTGGATGCCTTACTCACTTTCCCAAAGTTGTTGTTTCTTAATACGTTATCATGCAGTATGGGGGGTCGCTGCGGCCGCGGCGGTCATGGAAGGCTGTAACGGTACCGGTATATGGAAAATGGGGAAGTGGGAAATGGGTTCCATGCATAAGGATCATACATGCATTGCATATGTTTTATAGCACCGAAATGCTTAGCGCCATCGCAAAGGTGATGTACATTACATCGGAAACAAGAAACAAACAATTAATCTTCTTGTAGACATTGTATGTATCCATAAGGCTGTGAATTGGTGCGACCAGGATTGTTGGGACTGCTTTGTTGTCTGACCAGTGGAAAATATTCGATATGTGTATAGGTATTTGGATGATGTTGAGATAGAGATATCGAAGGTATGCTATGTGGAGTCAAGTACTTTATATATGGACATCGAAATGGTGGTTGGAGGTTACATGCATACATTATACATTCCGACGAATGGCTGGGTTCGGAATATTTCGCAAGATGGCCATAGAAGATGACGGCGCAAGTCGGAAAAAAAGGCCACAGTAAAACTTGGCCAGTCTAGTTCAGGTATTAGCCGATGAAAACTCACATGTTCTAAGTCACATTTTCTATGGAAATAGTCTACGGATTTTGCAAGTTTTTTGTTTGAAGGGGTTTTTTAAAGAATGTATTTTTTGTAGCTTATTAAAATCATAACTATAGAGGGTTCCCTAAAGGGGGTATCACAAGAAGAAGAAAATGAAATGATGAAAAGAAGAACTCCAGAATGATATGGGGGTATACAGGCAGGCTATGACAGGTTAAAAGAAAACAGAAAGGAAAAATAAATGTTAATAGTTTTTACATGAAATTTGTGTATGTGTGTGTGTGTGTATGGAAACGAATCCCGTCTTCTATGAAACGCCTTTGAAAAATGTGATGCATCCCTAGAAACGGTAACAAAGAAAGTTGTAGTAATACATGATATTAAGAATTATATCAAGGAAGAAAGAGCAGGGGAAAAAAAAAAAGAGAAACTCCGGGTAAGCAGTTGCAGCGGGGGGTATTATGCGTGGGGTCCAGCCTTTGTGTTCGATCCTTTCCAGGGAAAAAAATGGAAGGTGGTATCAAAGAAAGAAGATTCGTTATGATGCTGAAGTGAAAAATAATAGATGTATGCTCGAAGGTTGAAGAAAATGATGGAATGAAAACCCGCTAAATGTCGCAAGACTGTGAGGCACCACCACGCGTAATACTGTACAGTTGTTCTTGGGAAAGGCAAATATTCGTAGCACTCGTCAAGGTAGCGAATGTGGGTAAAGTTTGGGGTTGAGGCGAAATTGATGCGACCGATAGGGATCTTTTGCTTTGTGGCAATGAGGGATTTAGAAGAGTTTGTAATCGCATCTGTTTGGTTTGTTATTAGTATCATGTTATCTAGGGTTTAGATCTAAGACTTTTCTGACTCACCAATTCGGTTGCTCTGATTAAACATTAAGATTTATTTGATTGTTTATTTGTGTTCGAATCGAACGTTTTTCTTGCATCTGCCGGAGGCAATGCGTTCCCTTCGGAGCTCGTTGGCAATGATGCTCTTAGAGTCACATCTCTTTGGAGGCTTCCTCTGAGTCTCAGGTGTCGAGCTAAGGGAAACGGCGCAAGAGTTGTCGGAAGAATCATCTTCATCGTCATCTTCGAACTCCAATTCCAAGTAGTTTGACGGTCGCTGGTTGGATCGTACACGCTGCATGCCAACGCTGTGACCAGCCAAATCGAGATCCGAGAAGAACCCGCTGTCTTCGGAGTGAGCAGACAGGTCTGGAGAGTTGAGAGTCGGTCTGTCGGGCCAAGATGGGAAGGCGCAGGCATGACGTTCACAAGAGTAGTTTGGAGAAGCTGGGAAGTGAAGGAGTTCGGCCAGCTGTTGAGACTTTGTGCTCGAGTTCGAGCGAACTATAGAGATCGGGACGGACATTGTGGATATGTGTTTTGATAGAAAGAAGCTATGACTGATTGTCGGACCAGTATGGGAATGTTTTTATTATGAAGATTGAAGTAGAAGATAATAAGTTGCGGATGAGTGTTGATATATAGAAGGGTGGAAGCTTGAAGAACCCTTTGGATTATATGTGTATGTGTATGTGTATGTATGTGTGGATATACTAAAGCCAGATGGGAATGACGTGGGGGAGTCGTGATCTTTATATAAGAATGAACGATCAGGACGAACCGGTAGAGGGAAGAAGTAGGTGTTATATCCTGGAGACCGGATAGAGGAAGAAGGAAAAAGAAACTGTGTAATAAGATCAGGGAGAAGAAGTAAAGAAGATGGGATGAAAAGTCCAGTATATTGTACTTGTCTGCCTGTGCACAGAATGACAATACAACAAGTCGACTTGCCCTTATTTTTCCTTGCCTTGTGAAAAAGGGCCGGGTTTGAGTCAAAAGCAAAAAGCCTGACCAGGTTGCGGAAAAAGTAAAAAAAAGCAGCGTCAGGACAAGGCCTGTTTCTGGGTGGGGCGTAGTAACACCGGCCAACAGGCTGGACGGAGAGGGTGGGTTGCCAAGAGGGAGCAGGTAGGTAGCAGCCGGAGGGTTTCTGACTGAGAGCTGTCTGAGTCTTGAGCGCTTTGGGGGGGCGCACGATAATGGATGTAACGGGGGTCACAGCTCATGTACCCCGAATGTACACCGAAACCAAATCTCACACCGGGTGGCTCAGAGGAGCGGATTGGAAGGATTGGGGGCCAGGCGGCTATCCGGTCGAGTCTTGGGGGTCGACTCGAGGAGGAAACAGGTGCCGATTCGTGGGCACCCTGTGAATATTTTTCGAATGAATCCCACACACACACACACAAGGCTCCTGGCAAAGGGTTCAGGTTGGGAGTGTTCGAGGTGGGAGGATTTCAGATCATGCAATGCAGCCTTGCCTTGCTTCTGATTCCAGTCGTAGTTGTGATTCTGATACTGAATCTCTCTCCTCTCTCTCTCTCTCTCTTTTTTTTTTTTGATCCTTCTGAGGCCTTTTTTATTTTTTAGTTTTGATTTCGAAGCTTCGGTTTGAGTCCGTTTGCTAGGCAAGAGCGTTTGACTGAATCTCGCCTGTCTCTTGTAGAACAAGAAGGATATCGATGCTCGAATTTGCGATGATATCCCAGAAAACGGTAGTTGAATCGAAGGCAGGTTCCTTCGTCATGCTACTCGGATGGATAAGGTCTCTTTCGGAGAGTTTATCTGGTGAAAGATATGCCTGTATGTACGATCCTTGATAGGACGATGCTGCTTTCACCGCCTGTGATGGGTTTTTCTCGCGAGGGACTTTCCCAATTCTGAAGCTGGTTTGAAAAATGCAAGGGACGGGGATTCCACGAGGGTTCTATATTGCTCGCCCGTGGTAGAATCGATGGCGATAACCTTTTTTTCGTTCTTTCCTTTTCCTTTTGGAGGTTTACCTTTTGACTGATATCGGGAAGCTGGGAGTAATTGGGGGTAATGATGAAGCTGGTGCTGGTGCTGATGATGTTATTTGCTATTTCCAAGAGGCCACGGGATGCATGTATTATTGTCAGAAGGCTGGATGTGGTGCAGTAATTGGATCGAGGCCACGGGAGGATTCAGAAAGGCAGATGCCGAATCGGCGTATAGAAACAGCGTATTCGTATCGCGCTTAGAATATTATGATATTGTTCGGCTACGAATCAGCGGGGTGAATTCATGAATTAATTGCGATGTTACGTTACGTATACGTATTCCTTCGATCGAATCTCGGATTGGAATTATAATATCCAGAAGGTGTATACTTGTTGTGGAGAATGTGATATGGAATGCCCGTCGCTATGTTCCGTCGACCAGATGTCAGGTTTCTGATCATGATCAATCATATATTATACACACATACACACATACATACTTACATACATACAAGACAAGGTATTTGGTATTCACGAGGCCGTTTTGACCTCGATCCAGCTGCTACTGTACTGGAACTTCCCCGCCTTCAACCTCGGGCATATTCTCCATCTACCCGCCATTAGGACGTCGCTGATTTCTCCACTCCCCAGTCCCGATAGAGGGGACATGGGTCATCTCCATCTCTCAAAATGGATAATCCACGGCCGGCCGGCAAAAAAAACGTCTCTCTCTTCATTCGCTTTCGTGGATTTTCTTTTTTAGCCATCTCCGAATCTTTTTCGGGTCTTCTCCTCATCGATGGCAAGAAAGGAAAAATCCTGCTATGATTCCCCACAATCTGCCAGGGCCAAAACAGTACTCCGTATGGGGATCGGGAAGGCACAGATGATGAGTGACTTTTGCCAAATGATCAAGTAACGGGCGATGCAGTGTGGTCAAGTTTCAAATCTCAAATTCACAACGGTCAAATACAAATACAAAGAAAGAAAGGAAAGAAGGGAAAAAATATTATACCGATACTGACAGTACCGAAAGAGACGGCTGGAGAATCCCTTCCGGCGGGTAACTGTCGAATTGCATGTATCGTACCTACGCACATGAGAGGGGGCCTCTCAGGCAATTTGGATTCCCGTGTCAAAATCCAATGGAAATCTGAATCCGACCCTCCATCATCAGCACGCTGACATCAATCCGATCCAATTCAATTCCGAGGTCTCGACTCTCGGCCCAAGAAGGAACAGGAACAAGAACAGGAACTGGAACTGGAACTGGAGGGGAGGCGAAGGAATGCCAGGGCAGATGACAACATCGTTTCAACAGCTCCAACAAGTTCGTAACCCGGATTCCAGTCGTCCCCTTCAGGGATCGCAGCAATCAAAGCAAATATCAATTAAACCCAGATTCAGATTCAGTCTCATGGATTCGAATCCTGAACGGTCTAGACATCGAATGGCAACACATTTGGTTCGAAAATACAGAATATGTACTTGGTTCTAGATTCTTTCTGGTTCCCAAAGAAAGAAAAGAAAAAAAGTCTGCCCCTGAGCCGATGTCCCTTCATATCACATTTACGCACATTTACCTAAGAGAACGCCCCGATCTGTGAATTTCTACATCGATCTTGCATTGATGCTGAAGACAAGACCACCTTGCTTCGTGATTCTATTAGTTCCCAGGTTCCCCGTTGCCTTAGCTCGGATTCCTTCAGCTGACGGTTCCCCGACCAATACTCTCCTGCTATTACTCATCCAAAACAGCTCCTCTCCTTCAACCGAAATTATTTCGTCTTGGCATATCACACCTCGTCGGAGCTGGGCTTTCGGCTCAGGATATGGGTTCCCCGGCTAAACGAATTTCAAGTTTTGAATTTGCTTCTCGAAGGAAATCCCAATTCCACCATGTGGTTTTCCACCTGCCTTGCCGGAGTTTGTCCGTCCGTCTAAATATCACAGGTTTTTTTTTTTGCTTTGCTTTGTTCTGGCTAAAGGCCTTTCGGAAAGTGCAGTGTCTCTGAGAAGTAAAATAATTTTTCCGGGCCTAGTCATCCGGAGGAAACACATGAAAGTCCCCGGGTCGAGGAGAAAGAGAGAAAAAACAGTCGCCCCCGGATCAGGGTTCAAACCACGCTTTCCCAGAGAAAGAAGCCTTGGTCCAGTCTGGCTTGTCCGAACACTTGGAACCGAAAGCCTCGTGATATCGAAATAAGGCATAACTACAGAACGCTCTGTGGGAAAAAAGTTTTTGTGTTTCAAGTTATGTGAGTTTGTGGAAGGACGGCTGTGTGAAACCGCCATAACCAAAGGCCTTTCCAGGGAAAAAGCCAAATAGCCACAAGCTACTAGTCTCAATACAAGCCCCCTAATTGGATATAATTGCCATTTTGGGAAATCTATGCAAAATAGAAGCTCGCTATATCGGGAAAAACCTGGGAGAAGTTCAGCTTCCAAGAATAATCCGTCGAACCCGACCACTTCGAGGTTACAGACCGCCTACGAATGGTCAAAATTTGTACGACAGAGCTAACATCCAACCAACCCGTTAGATTCCCTTTGGCACGACCCCCAAGCATTCGGCTATTGGATAGGGTAGCAGCTGCGGTAGCACAAACAAAAGCTACCTGTTCCAGGTACACAAAAATGTGCAAAGAGGCATTACTACATCCGATATCGTTCCAATAATATAGTTCCAAATATGTATATTTCCCAACAAACATAACATAATATAATATAATGATAACAGGAAAAAAAAGATAACAAGTTGGGTACTCGTTTATTGTTGGACCTGGCAGGAACAAGATTCAGGCGGTCGTTCCTTTCCAGAAACAGGAACAATTACAAGCAGCTTCATTTTTGGAACATATTGGATATCTGTTGGTTCCATTCGGAATAGTGGTTACACTAATTTCATTCCATACGAGTCAAGTAGCACAAATTATACAGACATGCCAATATCATTCAAGTGTCGATTGCCACAAAGCAGGTAGATATTCCGCTTGACTTGAAAGTAACGGTAAGTTTAGAATATTAATAATATTACGATCGAGGCTGGATAGTTTGAAACCATTTGTCTTCCCGCACAGATGCATGCCTTCTTGTTTGTTCGATCGTTATTTCATTCACTACATTAGCTAACAACATTTAATCCAGGCCGTCTACAACCTATGCCCGTCGGGCGGATATGTAAGGCTCCTCTTCTCTGCCCAGACAAGCCAACCCAGATAAATTCCTTTGACGATCCAGATGCCCCAAACAGGGATTTTGTTTTGTTTTTAGAAATCAATGTATGATGTATGTATGTATGGATGTATGCACATTACATCCACGTAATGATCATGATGTAGACACGGTCTTTCTTCGAGTATCCACGCTGTATCACGACTAACACCGTTGTCTCCTTTCACGGGAAAGCGTCCGCTGTATCCGACAGGAATGTGATGTGATTCGATCACTCACGGATACGAATTGGTATGTGAACGATGCTCCCCTCGCCTGCCTGCATATGCGGATGTCCGAGGTCGCTCTTCAAAACAAACAAGATTGTGATATACTCTGTACATATTTTAAA